TATGTTGATGAATCGGTATCACACAGAACTGAATAAGCTAATGAGGTATTCAGAACTTGTGGCATTGTCGAAATAACACCCCATTTGCAACCAGGTACATCAACGGCAGTTGTGTCCATGGCAGAAAGAAATATAATTTCAACACAATAAAATTCTACTGTTGTTCCGGAACGTGTCATTCATGCAATGCACATGCAATAATCGTACTTTTGATATAAAAGAAATGTAACTTTCGTTTAATAAAATATTTTGAATTGAATATCTACCATACTTATATATGAGTATCCGGGAAAAAAGTACTCACTTTTTTCCCACGGGAAAAAAGTAACTTTTGAAAAGTGACATTTTATAACCTGTCAACAGAGATGAAATGTCAAACTTTTTTTCCGTCACAAAATTTTTTTTTTTACGGCTATAACACAAAATTCTTCTTGTTTCACTAGCTGTGTTTGAAACATCAATGAGGTACTTTGTATGTCATCAATTTTATTTCCGTATCTGATATCACAAAGACTCCATTGTGTTATTATTTAAAAAAAAAAACTCATCGCTCATAGAATGTCAGATTTCAAGCAATGACAGCTTTGCTCAATAGATGAGCCTTACTTGAGAAGGAATCAGATGGCTACAAGACGCAGGAATCAAGAATGCCGCTGTAATTTTTTACAACCGTAGACGAATCATAATGTATAACTCGCACAGAATGATGCTAATATTCCACTATCAAATCATTATCGTTCCGTGCTCGTTAAATAATATACTTTTATTTTCATCTGCAGAATATCCTGGAGTATATGAACGATATTTTGAGGTATTTTTATAATAATATGATGCAAATGTTCTCTTCAGGAAGTTTTCCAGAACAGTTCTAGATGCTGGCTTATATATCATCAAGCAATAATTTATTTTCTTCATCAGTTTCATGGGATACAAGAAGAAATTGTATTACTGCTCATTTCTGATGAATGACTTATTTATAGGCTCTTCTACCCCTTCAATAATAAACTCATCGAAAGCCAGATTTCCAACACCACCTACTTAAAATTGATAAGGGTCTGAACCTTTCGACACTCAGAGAAGTATCTGAAAAGAAAAATCGAGTAGACCACGGAGCCAATTGACCTGAAAATTCGGCCTTCGGAATAAGGAAATTGAAGGGGCGCTTTTCCCTCTTGAAAAATCGCGTCGATTTTTCCACACGGACGCCTTCCAGTTCCTCTGGAATTTTCACAGTTTATTTTCGGTAACAAGCTGTAAAGAATGATCCGGTGTCGAAGTGAATGGAAATTGAATACGGCGGAAAGTGTTTGATAAGGCAGTGGATCGGGAAGGGGAGTTGTACCTCTAGAGAAAGAGAGGGTGAGCTGAAATTATTTTGGTATTAAAATGTCACGATCATATTGAGTGATCCCTGAACAAGAAGGAAATGATGCTAAAAATTTAATAAATCACATACGCATGAGTCGATAGGTACATTTAAATTATAGACGAAGAGGCCCTGCTAACAACACACCCCCTAGAAGGATAACAACAAATATTCTGATGCTAACATGAATTCGCACAACAACCATGATATTCATTATTTCAAATTTTTTGGTATTTTCTCTCCTCGTTTCTATAAAATAAAAAAATGAATATTATTTCAATATACGTGTAGTAAGGACAAATCAGATGATTTGCCCCAAAATGTCACTGCGTTTAAAGAATTTTCCTATCAGAGAGCCTAAAAGAAATTTACTAGCTTGTCAGTGACAATTTGTATTGAGAAAATTTTTGGAGAAGAGAAATAAAGGTATACAGGGTGTTTCACAGGTAAAGGGAAATATTTCAATGGTAGATAAGAGTCACCAAGGTGGTTCTGAAAATACCATATTTGATAGGTCTTAGAGTTTTCATAACGAAGATACAGGGCGATTTATCGATTTCGAATAATTATTCATTCGTCTATAAGTATTGAACTACCCAGTATATTTTTCTAAAATTTGTTATGGAGCTTTAACTTAGAACCTTGAATGCATTCACCTATCGGGCGAAGTGAAAATCCAGGTTCGGCTTCAGGAAAAAGTTACATTTATTCGAAATATTAAAATAACACACTGTATGTAATAATTGACAAAGTTCATCGAAGGAATCGTGAAGAGGAGGAAAAGCTGGACTGGATTTGATGGTTTCTGTTTTTCCGCCACCAATTCTCATCGTAACAATCATAAACAGGAAGGTAAAAGTATGTCAATTTCAAGAGTATTAAAATTATGAAACCATTATGATTATTTGATATATTCTCGTTAAATGATCGTTCGAAAGAACTTACTTAGTCTCACAGTCTTTATAACAGAAAGACAGGGTGAATTATCACTCGTCCATAAGTATTAAACTACCCATCGCAGTAATATTTTCTCAAATTTGGTATTGAGCTTACTTGGGACGATGGATTCATTGACCTTTCAGGCAGAATGGAAATACAGGTTTAGCTTCAGGAAAAGTCTCATAGTCTTTATGACAGAGATACAGGGTGAATTATCGAATTATAATTTCGCCTGATAGGTTAATGAATCCATCGTCTCAAGTAAGCTACATACCATATTTGAGAAAATGTTACTGGGTAGTTTTATACTTAATGGACGAGTGAATAATTATTCAAAACCGATAATTCACCCTGTATCTCCGTTATAAAAACTGTGAGACTCAGTAAGTTCTTTCGAGCGATTTTTTGACTAGAATATATCGAATAATCATAATTGACACTGGTTTCATAATTTCAATACTCTTCAAATTGACATACTTTCAGCTTTCTGTTTATGATTGTTACGATGAGAATTGGTGGCGGGAAAACAAGAAGCATCAAATCAAGTTCAGTTTTTCCTCCTCTTTACGATTCTTTTGATGAACTCTGTCAATTATTACATACAGTGTGTTATTTCAATACTTCGAATAAATGTGAATTTTTCCTGAAGCCGAACCTGGATTTTCTCTTCGCCCGATGGTGAATGAATTCAACGTCCCAAGTTTGAGCTCCATACCAAATTTAAAAAAAATATACTGTGTAGTTCAATACTCATAGACGAATGAATAATTATTCGAAATCGATAAATCGCCCTGTATCTCCGTTATGAAAACTCTAAGACCTATCAAATATGGTATTTTCAGAACCACCTTGGTGACCCCTATCTACCATTGAAATATTTCTCTTTACCTGTGAAACACCCTGTATAGAAGAAATATATCAAATTTTCACTTATCTTTGGACGTTTCGGGACCGGTTCTGCTCCCGTTGTCAACATGAAAAGAGATTATTTCAATAGCGAAGTCGTATAATGTATCTTGAAGCTTTTCAGTTTCCAATGACAATTGGTGACGTTGGCAATCAGATGAGTTACAGGATGTTTTCATTAATTAATCTTGAATTTACCATTTTCATGTCCTGATTTTAGTAGTGAATACCATGTTCTGTCTATATCAACTGAACAAGAAGCAATGCTATTGTCTCCGTTCAGAAGAATGCAAGCAGATTCCTTGATTTTTCTCTTCTGGTTGTTATCTTTTTTTCCAATGATTTTAATATTATTCCACTCTGCCATATGTTGTCCGTCTTCAGTAAGGATATGTTCAGCTAATTTCGATAAGAACCAGATATCAATATCGTTGCTCCAAATAGAGATGGAAGTAATGAATATCCTAGAAGGATAACATAACAAATATTCTGATGCTCTCATGAGTTTGCACAACAATAACAACAATAAAAATAATATTGGTTCCCAATCGCAGCCAGTGTTGTCATGTCGCCTAAATTAAAAGTGATCAATGTCGCATCATCTTCATTTCTCCTATCTGTTCATGAATCTAGTTCAACACATACATTTATTCGTTAGTCGGATCAGATATCGAAACAATTCTGAAGAATCAATCCATAGTGATTCATGAATATTCATGTCATCTTGTCAAGTACCTACTTCAGTTTGTCAATATGGAAATTTTCAATAATGTCCACCAATGTTGCAACACCGCTTCTTGGTATTTGACAGCGATAAATATTTATTATTGTTCACATCCTCTTTAGGTACCTATGATGTTCCTCGAACATAATGAGGAGTTCTTTTCGTACGCTCAAGAGGATGAAAAAAAAATGGATTTCGTTCATTATAACTTTATTTTCCCAAACTCCGAACAGAGCACGGAATTTCATTAATATAGCACATATACAGTGTGTAAAAGCCAAATGGAATAAATTCATTATTTCGGTCACTATACATATTTATAAAAATCCCGAAACATGTCAACTAGGTACTTATCCGAGGAGGACATCGTTCTGAATTATTTTCAGCTCTGTTATCTCAAATGGAACACCCTGTATTACATTGCACTTTCAGATTCTCCCCAAAGAGCTGATTTCATCAATGCATCACACTTGAGATCTTGCGGCGATGATTACAGAGCTATAGGGTGTTCAAAATCGAGATTTTTCAACTTTAGGTTTTTTTGTGTCGAAACTGTTCATCATTAGTCAAAGCGGCTCACATGACCCTATCTCAGATTTCGATCCACTATTTACTGACATTTAATTGTAAAAAAAAACGAGTGGTTCAAGTTTCAGAATTTTGATCACCCTGTATCTGTTCCAATTAAATGTCAGTAGATAGTGAATCAGAAGTTGAGATAGGAATATCAATGCCGTTTTGATCAATAATGGATAGTTTCGACACAAAAAATTGCATAATTTGAAAAATATCGATTTTGAACACACTATATAGCTCTGTTATCATTGCCGCAAGATCTCAAGTGTGATGCATTTATGGGGAGAATCTAACAATGCAATGAAATACAGGGTGTTCTATTTGAAATAACAAAGTTGTTGCTACTTTTCGTTAGAAGCGGCAACGTCGCAAACGTGTTTAGGGATTTTTTATGAATATGTAGAGTAACCAAAATAATGAATTCATTCCATCTGGCTTTTACACACTGTATACACCCATTGATAATTTCATCTACCATGATCATCGATATCATCTTCTTTCAATCCACAATTTGGAACCATTCACCAGCTTGAGTGACAGCAACGGAAGCACTTCAATTTCTTCCAAAGTTTTGTATTCCGTGAAGAATCTGTACTTTCGCGTCAGATGGGCAATAATTGTTATTATACTCATGATGGCAAAACCACCGCCTGCAAAATATATAACAATGTGAACATGGTCATTAATAAAAAATGAATATTTCAATGGATATGACAAACTGTCACACAAACATCGTTATCCGCGGAATCCGTTTCCAAACGAGTTCTAGAAAGGTTATGAATATACAGTGTGTCCATTTACTGCGTAATTCTTCGATATCTCTTAAGCCATAACCTATAGAGAAAAACTTTGGGGAAAAACCTTTTCAGTTACTAAAGTTGCTCATTTCAAAAAATTTTTCAACATTACTAGGTGTTTTATAAAAGCAGGGCAACTCGAAGAAGAGTTCAACTTTATATCGCTGCAAAAAAAAATTAATTTTGCGACATGTTCTTCAACAGGGTGCTCAATTTTGCATTCAAAATTTTGCAAGAATCAGATGACATTCATCAGAATTTTTCAAATGGAACACCTTGTATTTTAATTCAAAAATTCATTGCGACATCTTTCGCCTTTTTATCGCTGAAGAAAAAACCGAAATCGATTGCGGCGTTGTCAAGTTATGGATAATTTTCTTATTTTTACTACTATTTCGGGGTAATTTGTACGTCATAGTTCTTTCATTTATTCGTATTGTGGAAATATTGCGTTGCTACGGTATAATCAAATTTGTTCATTGACCATTCATATATTTTTTTACAATAGGAACATTAACAGGCTCTCCAAGTTTGGATTTTTTTCGAAATACACTTATATTTGTGTAATGACCTGTCTAACATCGTCACAATCAAATATATTATCTTGGATTGATTCGGAGTTTTGCTGAATTCCCTCCCAAAAGCCGCGTATAGTAGAGACATATTGTTTGTATCATTATGTTTACCTCCTTCAAGTTGAATGGAGATTTGGATTGTGGAAATAACGACAATAAAAATGGCCCAAATTTCAAAAAATTGTCCTGATTTTCGAAATCCGCATCTTCATTGTTTGTATTGTAGAAGTTGTTTCGAAGACAGGCGTTGGTTTTGGCATGTTTGTTTGTTTCACATATTGTTTAAATCATAAGTAACAAGATTTGGGAATATTTCAAATTTGGACCATGCACATATCGCAAAAATACCTAAATGATCTATGTAGAACCTCGAATGTCATGTGGCAAGCAATATTCCCACACTCAAATCAAATAAAGGAATCATCATGACGTACAAATTACCCCGAAATAGGAGTTAAAATAAGGAAATTACTGATAACTAACGCCGTAACCGATTTTGATTTTTTCTTCAGCGATGAGAAGGCGAATGATGTCGAAATTAATCTGTGATGAAAAATACAGGGTGTTCCATTTGAATAATTCTTATAATCGTCGTCTGAATCTTACAATATTCAGAATGTGAATTTTAGCACCCTGTAAAGGATTATCTCGCAAGAAAACTGAATTGGTATACGTGAGACCTTGCTACTACTGTATGCCAAAAATATTTTCGAAATTTCAATAAATAAATATACCATACCCAATCGAAAATGACCCTTCAATAGTAGTAAAATTAGGTTTATCAATTATAACTTGGCAACGCCGCAACTTAATTCAATTTTTTTCACAGCGATGTAGAGCTGAACCTTAGCGGAATAAATTCCGAATGAACAATACTGGGTGTTCTATTTAAAAAAACACGTCTTCGAGTTGCCCCGCTTTTATGAAACACCCAGTATTGTTGGAAATATTTTTGAAATGAGTGACTTCAGTAACTGAAAAAGTTTTTCTCCAAAGTTTTTCTCTTGTGATAATTGATTTCGAGATATCGAAGAATTACGCACTAAATGGACACACTATACATATAAATGAATTAGGACATATTCTCATTGAATCCGTTTCGAGTCTTTTATTTTTTGAATCTTTGAAGATGAATAGATAAGGTCCCCTGTCGAAAATCTGTACAATAAATCTCAGAAATAGTAGAAACTTCGAAATACTACCCTCGACAATTTCGAGATATTATGGTGTTCTTTGATCAAGTGTGTTTGCTATGGTTATATTGATCGGGAACTGACGACAATTATCTAGTTCTTGTTCATGAATCATACTCAATCCTAAGCTAGAGTGAATACATGACGGTGTTTCAGGCAGAAATTCCTCTAGGTAAATATGGAAAACAATTCCAGTCTACTGGTCTGGTACTGCTTAGAAATCCTGAATGGACTTGGCAGTCGAAACAGACTGACTCTAGCATGACTACCATCACATACAGGGTACAAGGGCAACGAAGAGGCATACTCACTTGCTCGAGCAGGAGCAAATAAACTTTGAATGGCCCAGAACCCTTTTGTGGTATTGCGACAGTATCATGGTTTCTTGTGGAGAAACAGGCAAAAATGATCGCCAACATTCACAAAATATCTGATGAGCCAGAAACGAAGTGCAACTAGAATACTGTGGAACTTCTCACAGGGCATTGAATGCTAAAACACAAGAGTAGGATAGATCTGGTAAAATAACTGCTATGCAGGTTCTGTCAGGAAGTGGAGGAAACAGTAGTATATCATAATTTATACATACTTTGTTAGTGTGAGGGCTTGTCGAGACTAAGGTTGCTCATGCTGGGGAAAGGAATCCAAGAGCTCATCAGAGTTACACAGGGAATCTGGAAGTCTATGGAGAAGGCAAGGCTAACCAAAGAACTCTGAATGGTTTTGATTGCAGACGCAATAGATCTGGAAACGTCGCGGTGTGGAGGCAGATAAGAAACAAAAAATTGATTTCCATAAGTGCTCCATAAAATCAACAACACTGGTAGGATGACGAAATAAAAAACAACTACATCGCTGATGGGTAGTGCCACGAAACATTCAATCACTTTTCCGTGGAACAAGAAAAAACTAGAAGTTGTTCGATTACACCTATTGTAAAAGAAATAGATACACTCAGAGAAGGAGTCGGTAGTGAAAACCAAACATCTAGTAAAGTAGGCGCCAGTCACTACATTCATTGAATAACTACACAACAAAATTGTATCATGCTATACTTAGAGTATCATTCTATTTTGTAGTCATATTCTTAGATAAATATTGTGACTAGCGCCTATTCTACTAAACGTTTGGTATCTACTACCGACTATATTTCTTATTATATATTCGGTGAGTAACGGGTTTTGCACATCAGACCAAGAAGTTTCTGACAATTATTGTTATCCAGAAAATAACATGAGTTGTTACGAATAACAGATCTCTTCATAGTCAAAGTAGAAGCCAATCAATTGAAGTAGACTAATTCATCATTGGGCTGTCAGTTGTGATGAATTTCCACACATTTTATAGCGGTCGAATGGCCAGGAAGAATTGGTAGGTATCTAATGAGGAATTGAACATCGAGAAAACAATATCCCAAAACTCTTTACAAAATATCACATGTTGACCTTAAAATCCGTCATACGCAAAAAAATCAAAAAATACATGAATCTAGGAAATAATTATTGTCTATGACGAAGAGTCAAAATATCGACATCTCAATATCAAAGAAGCAAAAGGTGAAAGACAAAATGGAGAAAGAAGAGAAATGGAATTGCGACGAAAAACTATTTCTAATGACATAAAGATGAAACATCGAAAAGGAATTGCTGTCTGAAAATAGTATGAACGGACGCGGACTATTGAGAACCAATCGACCAACTGAAAGAATGATCTGAATCGATCATATCATCAACATTCGTATAAACGTAAAGTGATTCCGAATTGTTTTTAAATTGTAGCCACTTAGCGCTCACAAAGATCTAATAGGATGTCAACCAATGTTCTCCGTGGCATCTGCCAGCAAAGTGAATATTTATCTTCCCTCATTCACCATCATTGTTCAGATTATCGGACACTTGTCCTAATGACCATTTTTTTTTTTTTAAATCTTCATTTTACTGTGACAATTCTAGCTCATTTGTTGCTGTTGATATTAATATAGTAAGAAGTCGTTGAAATATGAAAAACTGGATAACAATAACTTACCTATGCAGTTTCTGGGTCCACTCATGAAAGGCAAATAACTGCCTGCATGTCTTTTCGCTATGTTCTCTGGTAGAAAACGGTCAGGATCGAATTTGAAGGGATCTGGCCAGTAGTTAGGATCTCTGTGGAGGGCCGTTAACAAGATGAAAATTATCGAACCTTCAGGAATCAAATACTTCTCATCTGAAATTTTAAACAGTTTTGTATAATATAACTTGTGACCAGCAAGCTAATACACTTATCGGCGAAGAAACCGGCCAGCAAAGCATTTTGGCAAATCAATCGACCTGCAACTTTTCAAATTCTTGCCGATTTTCATGAAATATCGACGTAAGCGTAGAATCATATTTCGAAATGTTAATCTGAGTTTGAGTTCACAAAAACAGCTGATGACTTGAGCATTATACAGGAATGAATAAATGTTATTATCTCACAGCTGATCCCTGATAGCACACAACCTCCTAGGGACGTCCTTTATTTGGTATAATTCAAGTCCGAATGTCCCGGACCTAAAATGATTGTCCTTGGGACGTCCCATCCCGTACGTTTCATGCATGGTCCGAGCAAGGAGCTGGTACATCATTCCAAATGTCCTAGCAATGGCATGCTTCAGACGTTCCACGTGGTACATATAGTAAGAAGATGCAATGTTCTGAAACCTATTAGTTCACTAGGTAGATCATCTCTCGAGACCAAGGTCGAAAGTAAAAGGACCTGCTGAGGCAGGCACAACGTATATGCTCTGCTCTTCCATCATATTCAAGACAGAGATGTCGATTCATCACCTTCCATACTATTGCATAGAGTATTATTTGGTCCAGTCAAGCAAACATTTTGACGTTGATTGGTACAAGCAAGGTAGTGTGATATCGCTTTACGAGGTTCAACTACAGTATTCATCTCACCAGACCCTTAGGGTATGTAAGATCCATATGTGAGGGTTATCTACTCTTAGAAGCTACTCCTTTCGTAGGAACCAGTCATCTCTATTCGAAATCAGGATGGTATACGGCAGTTCATATCGATACTGACGGTGTAGTACTGATATCTCTAGTTATTACTAGATGAGCCTGTCCTTGTATACTGAAGAAATTTGCCTGCTCCGTTCGCTGTGAGGCTTTCAGCCACCAAGCAGTAGCCCCTTTAGATACTATTATATATAAATTCACATCCGCGCATATATAGTTGAAGCAGAAGAAGAAATAGATTTGACGAACAAATTTATTGATCTACCAGATGGAAATGTTGTTATATCGACTCACCTAAACGAAGGTCAGTTTCGACAGTTCTCACAGTCACTGGTGCCGTTGGAAATATCCTCAGAGTTTCTTTCACTGCCCTATCTGTGTATTTCATTCTCGAGATATCTTGTGGCTCCACTTGGCGATCCGGTCCTAAAACTTCCATCACCTCTTCGTATACTTTCTCCTGAAAGACATGTCAACAGTACTCAATTTCTATACATTCAAAATAAACTTTGAACCAAAAAATGTTTCTCATTTCGAAAAAAAATGCAATGTACCTGAATATCTTGGTATACTCCCAAAGCCATCATCATAGATAGCACAGTTCTTGCTGAAGTTTCCGTTCCCTAGAAGAATGAAAATTATACAGAGTGGTTCATTGGGGTGCTTCTGAATAATCCATATTTCATGGGTCTATCATTCTTTTTGACCAAGATATAGGATGATTTAGCAATTTTCCTAATTTTTTTTCAATTATTCATAACGTATGAACCACCTTATACATTTTTGTGATATTTGGTTCGTATGTTCTTAGTCCACAGTGGTGACGATTGACATGATCAAAACATTCTCATTTCAGGTCCGGCGTTGAGAAAAGGATAAGTCAGGTTTCGAGTCGAAACAACACCGTGTGTCGCTATATTTCGAAATTTAATTCACAAACTTGGAAAAAGAAGATACGTAAGACCGACTGTATATTTGGTTTTTCCGCCTACAACTGTTTCACCTTTTCATTCATTCACATTTAGAAAAATAATTTGTCGTCCCCTAATGGTACTTTAGTATTTCCAATCCATAAAATCATCAACCATTTCTTATCTTCCTAATTTTTGGATCCAACCAGATTGACTGTTCTTGGGATTATAATTTTTATCAATGATTCACTTCAGACACTCTGTATGTAAAAGGAGATGATCGTAACACATGTTCATTGCACCACATTTGAAACAACAAATATGAAAATGGGTAAGAAATCATGATTAATATGAAAATGAATTCTGATCACTACATTTAGTGCAATTAATAACAATCACTATAACAACAATATCGAATACGACAACTTCGAATTTTTATCGCCAAATATACCTCGGACATTGAAAATTTTATTTTGATTTATTACAAGTTTCACAAGCTTGTTGCTTGATAACAGCCCACAGCCTTCGGCTTCGAGCTTTCTTTTGTCATAAAATCATCTCGTCTATTATCCCATGTCCTAGGAATATAACTATACTGATCATATTATTGCAATTGAATTGATGTATCATTCTCTCAAATTAAAATTGATAGGAAGTGTGAACTATACCTATCATGTCTGTTGATGATTTGTTTGTACTCTCCCAAATTTTTTGATTCATCAAATTGTATCATCAAATATAATTCGTGCTCATAGTTCTATCAAAAATTTTGTCAGAAATTGTATGGTGTTACCAAGCAATTAGATCTTGTTGATTTCTGACACTGTTATTATCGATATAGTATTGCAAGCACTCATGGTAGGCTGCATCTATTAGTAAGTTTACGTACGAATAATATGCTAAAATCCTATTCGCACGTTCACGTTCGAATAGGTTTCGACGTACCTATATGTACGTATGCGTACGTATAATATGCCAATGCCTATCCGCACGTTTATACGTACGAATATTTACGTGAATGTTTTCAATTTTAGAAAAATATATTAGTTGATATCGAAATTATCTGTCACTTCCATGAAAACGTTCAAATATATTTACCAACTCAAAAATTCTCTACATCTACTTATGTGAAATTTGATGAATATAATGTGTAATTCATTATGGTTAGTCGAATTTCACAGCAAACTATGTTCAACATTGTTTAGGCAATGTACTGTGGTATATGGTTCACTTTTATATCAGGTGTTATTTCTATCTCACTTTTATATCAGAAGTTTTTGTAAAGATATGAAACCATTATAGCAACTCGAATTCGATCGATTGTTTTGTCGATCACATTGATCTGAATAAATGTAGGAACTTCTTATAAATGTAGGAACTTCTTCCAATTTTTCTAGCACATTTTCCTCTGTGCCTAACACATAGGCTTTGGCATATTTATACGTTCGGATAGGGTTTGACATATTATACGTACGTATACGTGCAGATAGGCTTTTGCATATCTATTCGTAAGTATACGTACGTATAATATGTCAAAGCCTATCCGTACGTATACGTACGTATAAATATGCCAAAGCCTATCCGTACGTATACGTGCCGATAGATATGGGAAAGCCTATCCGTACGCAAATATAGTTGTCAATTTACGTACGGATAGCATTCTTGGTAGTTATTCGCAAGTTAACGTACGGATAAAGTGCCTTATCGCTATTTGTACGTATATTCGTAGGTATGCACGCACTGCGTGCGAATAGACACTTCCCTCATGGTACCACCCCCGATAATAACCTTGTTATTGTCATATTTTAGAAATGCCAGAATCGTCAGTGACGTCCGATTTAGCGGCCGTTGCCATGGGTAAAGGCCGCGAAAAGTAATTTCGTGTTCTGTGTTGAGACAACGGAATATTCTCTCCGCTTGCGATTGCAGATTTCAATATCAAAACATAATGGAAAGAACATTGGAGTCGATGAAACATCATTAAATTGGATGAAATCTTATTTAACAGAACGAACTCAGAATGTTGACTTGATTAGCATAGATAATGGAAATCTTAGACATGTTAACTCGCAAACAACAGAGGTCCCAATCGGCGTGCCCCAAGGTTCCGTGCTGGGCCCTGTTCTATTTATATCCTTCGTGAACAATGTTGATCTTGCCATTCCTCAGGCATTTCTGACCCATTATGCTGACAACAAGTCGGAAGTTAATTTCAGCAGCAGAAAGACTTGATAAACCGATGTATTAACACACTATCTGACTTAGTTGATTGGTTCAAACAGAACTCATTATACTTCAATATGGAAAAAGTATCTGATCCAATTCCATAATCCGCAAAAAAAGTCAAATTCTTTGGAATTGAAATTCAATGATGAACCCTCTGCAATCAGGTGAATTATACTAAATTCAGGTATCTATATAAATGAAAATGTAAACTGAAAACAGCATTGTGGGATTCTGGTCTAGAAATTGCACTGAGTAATTATAAATTCGAAATTTTGCGGCCCTTTCTCACCACCGCGCAGCTTTTGATGGCGTATTATGCAAAGCTACAATTTCGATTGCTCTATGGGATTTGTTTTTGAGATTGCTCTACGAGCATTGAAGACGTATTTCTGGCCCAAAAGCGCGTAATGAGGAGTATCGCTGGTGTTGAAAGCACTGAGTCATGCATGACATATTCGAATAATTACAAGAGTTCAACCTTAGCTAGAGAGTTCTATCGAAGGAGTAGACAGATTGAGACCTCAGAGAGAACCAGTAACGAGATCTGGGGAGTAGGCAGATTGATACCTCGGCAGCAAGTCACATAACTTTCGTGATATAAACTGAGGAGTAGGCAGATTGAGACCTCAGTGAAAATCATTACCTATATCTTCCTATCGTCTTTTCATTATTATTTATTATTTATTATATATGTTTTTCAGTTCTTGAAATTGGCTCCAAAATCGGGGCCGAAACGTTTAACATCGACAGATTATGGACGCGGAAGCAGCAGAGTGAAAGTGAAACTCATGCAAGTTTATCCAAGCTTTCGGAAAGTTATATTTTCATCATCAGGGAAAAACAAAATGTATGGAAATTAGCGAAACTGGTTGAGTATGAGGTGATGTACTTATAACTCATTGAGGTTGATTACATTGATGTTACTAAAAAAGTATATACAGTCTGTCCAAGATAAGGTTGATCAGCATGGGGATCTCGAAAACGGTAGGAGATACGAAGTCGGTTAAATGGGGAAAAAGTTGCGCATTCGAAGGCTCATATCGAGAGCCTTCGAAAATTGTCGAAATTATTTTCAGTTTTTTATTTATTTATTTATTTATTTATTTAATGTTACACTGTTCTACAGGTCAAACCCAACTACAGAACAGGGTAATAAGTATAACTAATAATACAGTTTTTCATATTTTGAAAAGTATATAAATATAGGCAAGACCTTAGCTGAAATAAAAAGATTTAATCGTAGAGATAGAGCAATGAAAGATCTCTGGATGATTATTTGATGAATTATTGTATATAGAACACATGTTATGGAGAGGAGAATATTTCAGAATATTTGTTCGTGGTGTGGGAAGATAGAATGTATTGAAAACTCTAGAAGTTTGTCTAGGCACAGTGAAACTCAGCTTCTGCAAAATGTGTGAGTCAGTGATAATGTTATTCACCACTTTGAAAAGGAACACTGTGGATTGACAATCACGACGGCAACTGAGGCTTTTCATAGCATGTCTAGCCAATAATGTATCATGAGGAAACCCGATTGGTGGATATACATTATCAGATCTATAGGAAAGAAGTTTTAGGAAACGACGTTGTACTGATTCAACTTTCTCTATATACAGCTGATGAGACGGATTCCAAATTAAAGATGCATATTCCAGTTTTGATCTGACGAAGGCATAATATAATGTTTTTGATGTGGCTGAATCGGAAAAATCTCTAGAGATCCGCGCTATGAATCCATACATCCTGTTTGCAGCAGACAAAGTAGCTTCAATATGCGGTGTGAATGAAAGTTTTGTGTCAAAGGTGACACCTAAATCGGTAAATGTGGGCGGACGTTGAAGTATTGTTTCACTAATATCATACGGAAATAAAATGAGTTGATTTCTAAGTGTATATGTCATCACATTACATTTGCTATAGCGTTCAAAGGTAATTTGTTACTGCAACACCATTGTTCAACACGTTTCAGATTTAAAGATAGCCGTTCACAATCCTCAATATCATTTATCTGACAATATATCTTCAAATCGTCTGCATACATCAAACAATTGACATCAATTACTTCGATAATGTCATTTATAAAGGCATTGAAAAGTAGCGGACCTAGAGGTTGCTACCTTGAGGGACACCCGAGCTTGCTACATATTCGACAGACTTGAAACCATTGAACATAACATATTGACGTCTATTAGTAAAATATGAATCAAAAAGTTGGATAAGTGCCAAGGAAAATCCGTAACGGTATAGTTTCGATAATAATAGTCCATGATCGAGCCTGTCGAATGCCTTTGAGAAATCTGTATATTTTATACAACATCAACTTGCAATCGTCTGTCAATGCTTTCAGAAATATATTGAGTAATATTGAATATAATTTTCAGTTATATCGAAAAAAGTGAATTTTTGGAATATCTATTTTATTTTTTATCGTTGTTATTATTAGAGATACAAAAAATCTAAAAATATTCTTCCATAGCAACTTTTGATGACGTTTAACGTGGAGATACCAATTTTGCTATGCGACGTTTCGTATTCGTAGAACCATCATCAACTTTTGTTTTTTGAATACGGTCCTGATAATGTTTTCACAGATTCTGAAAGGTTTTTGTATTTTGAATTCAACCATGTATCATACAAGGTGATTTATGTGTGTTTCGACCTATTCTCAACCATCATCAATGTTTTCTCGAAATTCCAAAGGAGAAATGCCATCAGTTCCACTTATTTTGAAGGAAAATTAGTTAACACACTAATACCCCATCAACTGGTTTCAATCAACAACCCATTTCATTTTGCGGAAACAAAAATTACATCCATACAAATTCAAAATATGTCAAGCGCTAAAACCAGGCGATGACGAAAGGCGCAGGAGTGGTATACGAGGAAATGTGAAAATTTTGCAGATTTCCCGCGAACAATTATCTGGACTGATGAAAGCATGGTCACTAATCATGGTATCTTCGATTAAAAAAAATACACATTATTGTTCACGAGAAAATGAACATTTATACATTATAGCGAGACACCAACACCGTTTCGGCTTTGATATGTGTGTTGCAATATTTGGTACACGAATTATTGGTCCTTTTATTCACCATGAAACACAGACTTCCTAACGTTAAAGAAATTTGCTTGAGAATCATCTTGAGGAAGCTCTGGATGATTTACCGATTGCGGAAGTTCAGAACTGTTGGTTTCAACAAGATGGCGCTCCGGTACAAAATTCCAGAGAAGTTCGTGCGTTTTTATCCAGAAAAATGGTTTGGTACTCATTCTGTAGTCCCTTGGCCGGCGCTGTCACCTGATTTGACACAGCTGGATTATTTTTAGGGGATATATCAAAACATTTGTACAAGCAAATAGCTTTGATGATGAAGAAGAACTAAAGGACAGTGTCATCGAAGCATTCATTCAATAGAATAACCCCAGAAATGCTTAGTGATGTCTTAGAAGCAACTGTGCGAGAAGAGGATATCTCTGTTCAGAAAATAAAGGTTATCATTTTGAACTTTCGTTATGGATGTTGAATGTTTCTGAAGGTATTGTCAAAGTTGAGTTGTTGAAGTAATTCGTGTAAGAATTCATCAACAATTTTAAGCGCTGCATTGAATGATGTAGTGAAATATCTTTTATTTACTTCTAAGTATCGAATAACTAATCCATCAATGTTTGACACTGGATGATCAGAAATAAATGGAACTGATGGCATTTTTCCTTTGGTATTTCGAAAAAACATTGATGATGGATAGAAATAGGTCGAAACACATTAGAATCACCTTGTATAATACATGGTTGGATTCAGAATAAAAAAAACTTTCAGAATCTGTGAAAAAATTATCAAAACCGTATTTGAAAAACAAAACTTGATGATGGTTCTACAGATACGAAACGTCGCATGAGAAAATCGGTATAACCACGTTAAACGTCATCAAAAGTTGCCATGAAAGAGTATTCTCAGTTTTTCTGTACCTATCTCTAATAATAACGGAGAAAAAAAAATAAAATAGATATTCCAAAAATTCACTTTTTTCGATATAAGTAAAATACTAAAAATGATTTTGAAAATGTTCGAAGGTTATTGATATGAGCCTCCGAATGCGCAACTTTTTCATCATTTAACCGACTTCGTATCTCCTACCGTTTTCGAGATCCCCATGCTGTTCAACCTTATCTTGGACAGACTGTATGAAAATTGTTGTATAGCATATCTGGAACGTGACAATTACAAAAATATTTAAATATTTGGTCAATATCAAAAACGTTCCTGATTCATACTCATGAGAAACTTTTTGTCACAACGTGTGTCAGAATGAAAATCGTAGGTTATGAAACTGAACCTTATTCTTCCAATTGAATGGCGAGGAACCAAATAATTGTATCAACAAAAGAGCTGACATCAACCATTTGAGTAGAATTTATTCATATCTACTATCAATCGATACACACAGTACTGTGTTGAATAAAAACATTTCAACATAACCAAAGGAAATTATCTCCCTAAAAAAACTTATCATGATGCACAGATGTCTTCAAAATTCCACTGTAATTTCATAATCTACGTACTTTATTGTTCCATATAACCAAGGTCATCACAGCATAGTAAAAAATCTAATGATGTACCTGTTATGTATTAATCAAACTCTTCTTACCAATTTCATCTTAGTGTTTTATTTATACCATTTTATGTAGATGTCTTGATGTAGGAAATAAACAATTCCGACAGCTCGGCTATGTAACGAAGAGTTCTCATTTGAGGCCAATATTTCGACTGCATCCCCACATTCCCCACGACGAAATAACGTAATATTTATATTGAAATACTGACATTTGAGTTATGATATGATTTAGGGTTAAGATTTTGTTTGAGTATTCCTTATACAATTATTGTAAATTGTCTGTGAAGACAATTAAATATCTAGATATCTATCTATCCATCTAACAAAGAAGAAACTTACTGCAGCTAATACTGTGTTAACCTCATCGCACAGTTCTTGTTCTGTGAAACTTTCCGTCTTCACTAGGTAATCTAAGAATGGTTCAGTTCTTCTGGTCTCAACTAAAAGGAATATATTCAGTAGATAAGTACTTAGATAATATCTCATAATCTAGTCGGAAGTTGGGACTACATGAAGGACATTCCTGCCTTCGGCTTTCTATATATATACAGGGTCGTGTATGTGATAGAGAATTGAAATTGGAAAAAACATTGATTTCACTTCATTCATACCAGAAAACCAAACAACGAGAATTGGAGATATTCTCTGGTGAAATACTGGTGAATTGAAAGCGAATTCAATGGTATTATTTTTTTCAGCCTATATAAATACCAATGACGTCAAGGAAATAGTTTCAATGTTCTCCATTACGTATCATACTGATATCGGTGTACAATTCTGAAATTTCGTCATAAATCATAGGAGAATAATAGTTCTAATATGAAATTGTCCCACTTTCTAGAAATCGATTGAAACCCCTGTTTTTGAGTGAAAAGGAAAAAACATATTTGACTAAAAATTTTGATGTTAATGTGGGATCATGAATTATAGGCACTTCGGATTACTAGATAAACATGCATGATAGATATATATCAATTTGTTATGTTTGCTTCAATTTACTCACATAACATATTGAATTTCGAGGTAGGTACCTAAATAGCTCATACATGATGATTATCGAAATGATTGAACGTTCATTTCCAATGTCGAATACGAATATCCTGCTACTATAAAAAGGCCGAGCCTGTATATGAACCTAGAAGTCTGCATTCAACGAAGAGATATTGAAAACCTGTGGAATCGTTATTCAAAATGTATTCAAGTTTTTACTGGTGCTTTTTGTTTTCAACTATTTGGAATGTCATTATTAATAATGAGCAAGTCAACAGAATCTGAAGGGCAAATCAACCCATTGCAAAACAATGTTAACCAAGATCTATGAAGGAAGTATTACAAAAACTCCAAAAGTTCGAAACAAATTTCAATACTTGCTCTCCTAGAGTGAAAACACTACGACTAAAAGGGTCGAAATAACGTACTAGAATTACAACAAAGCTGGTTGAAATAACGCAAAAATATCGCTGACTCACACGTTGTATTCTTAACCAGTAGAAAAATAAGTTTCCAAATACTTATTTGATATCAATTAATTTTTTCAACATGATTAAAGCAATTTTTTACTTATTTACAACGTTATCAGTTTACGATTGAACGACGTATGAAGTACAGCTCAAGTTATGAATATGTGAATTCCTGACGTTGAATTAAACAATTATTGCTTGAGAGTATCAACGTTCTACTTCAACGTTCAATACTGAGTGTAGATCGACACAATGTAATGAACCGTTGGTAATAAAACGTTTGAATAACGTGTTTTCGTTTTTTTTTCAACCAAATTTCATCGTTGAAGCTTTCAGCCAGTAACGTTATTCTCACGATTCCAACCATTATTCAACGTTTTATCAACGAATATGTGTTAACTGGGCCCTATCCTCCCTATAGGTAGGCACAGGAATTCTATTTCGTGCCCTCCAAGGGATAAAGAAAAAACTAGAAATATCAGTACGTGCAGGTGGAAGTTGATAAATGTCGAATTCATGTTAATATGATGTTATGGTATATTAAAAGATATAAATCATAAATCGATTATACTCACCAACAGTCTCTTTGGAGTTACACGTATGTTCCTCAATTTTTTTCTTTATGACCTGAGAATTGATTATCGATATCAGAAGCGTGTAAATACAAAAAATACACATAATATGAGGTTGACATGAAAGCAAAAGGCGAAGTCTAGCTTGTAAAATGATTCAAAATCAGCTCAGGAACTGTTGATGATGCCGATGAAGATTTGTATCAATGATGATATTATTTCCAAAAATAATTTTGATACCTACTTCATTTCTTGTGAAATGACTAATAGGCCAAGCCGTAGAGAATTTTTGGAGGAAATAATTAGAGGAAAGCTGAATTTTTATTTAAAGCTTCGTTTTGGAGTTCTAATTACCCTGCTAAGTTTTCCCCCTCCAAAACCCTCTGCGTTGGCCGCCATATTGGAAGAAAGGTACAAAAATTCAGTGTTTGTCTAATATCTCCGTATCCATTTGTCCTACAAGAAAAATGAATCTCATCGTTTTTGAAGAGAACCAAATTCTCTATAAAAAAGTACAGAGATTCCGCGCGTCCGTACGAAATATCGTTGTCCGGTCGCCGTACCTCCCTTTTCGCATCACACAATTCTCACTTTTGATTTTTTTCAAGTGAATATTGTGTTTATTGATGAATTCAAATGTTTTTGACCGATGTTCAACTATATCTACCCATTTCCACACCACCTTGCGGTAGAGCATACGGCGCGTTTTTTTTAGGTGGTATCCCCTGTAGGCCTAGTCCACCTCACCAAGATAAGTCTATTCATATTGAAGACGTGGAGGTTGACAAAGTTATTCATCACTAATCTCTTGAATATAAATGTCGTGGTCATACTGGGCACATTCCTCATTCTCCTCGTTTATGGAATGGTCTGAATTAATGACAATATCCAGATCATCATCTACATTGTCTATTCTGTCATCTACATTCGTGCAAGATAGGCCTCGACAATTGTAGCAGATGGTGGTACACCGCAGACCAACTTTTCTACAGCTACAAGCTGCTTTGCATCCTTTTGTACACTTGCATGAGATAGTTTTGAGTAACGTTTGCGGAGCAGCGTCTTTGGTAGAAGTAATAGGTAACAGACCGTTCTTAGTAGTCTTCCAGCCCCAATCTTTCGGATTCTTTTCAATTCCATACCATTTTTGAACTTGGTAATACGTTCTTAGAGAATGCTGCCGTGCCGCGGCTTTTGTTGGAGGTAAGGACGCAAGATTCACAGAATTTTTGCATAATGATTTGGCAAATATCTGGAATCTCAACTCATCCAACGAGATCTCTTCGTTTTTTTCTCCGTATAGAGCTGCAATTAATGTTTGTCCAGCCGCATCCATCGCATTTGGATGTGCTTCTGGATCCTTGAAGATTTTGACAATGTTCTGCAATTTCTCGTCATTTTTCATTAGTTTGACAAATTTCATCTTTCCTTGCCTAAAAAATGAGAAAGTTGTGTCGCAGCCACTGAACGCGTGTAAAAATAAAATATTGTCTCGTACAATCGTATTCAGATCTCACAGTTTTTAAAGCAGCAGCAATGTTTTTTTCCTTACTGTATGATTTCTGACACTTCACATGCACAGTTACACGTTGCAAACCTTCAAGCTGAATTGCTTTATTATCACGCCTGATTTCGCTACATTTTTTTAAAGTTTTCAGTCCTCTTTCTTTTACTACAATGCTTTCACTTTCAGATAAAGTCATCTCACAAATACAATAATTATTTATCTCCGCCATTTCAATAATTTCCAGAAAAAATCACAAGCACAATGAATGAAACGAGCACAAAATTCATGTAGCGATAATCAATGTCTCGGCTATACTGATTAGATCAGATCCTGCTAAAAAGTCCCTACCAATAATAAATCGCGGGTACATCCTACGCGAAGGTGGGGGGTTTGTTTGAAGCCTAAGAAATACATCGTATGCTAATAAAGTTTTTTTATTTCTCGATTATGGTGGCAAAATTGAATTTCTAGTGAAGAGTAGTGAAGCTGAACATTGGCAATGATGGTAATTCTTAGGCGGTTGCAATTACGGTGACCGGGCAACGATATTTTGTACGATCGCGCGGAAACTTTGCACTTCTCGCGGCTATAGCGTCGAAACGGTAAGTCGTAGCGATGAATTATAAGAAAACATTTTTATAGAGAATTGAGTTATCTTGAATATCAATCATAGCTATTTTCGATGTAGGACTAACGAATACGGAGATATTAGCCAAAAACTGAATTTTTGCACCTTTCTTCCAATATGGCGGCCAACGCAGAGGTCTTTGGAGGGGGAAAACTTACAAGGATAATCAGAAACCCAAAAGGATGCTTTTGAAAAAAAAAACAGCTTTCCTCTAATTATTTCCACCAAACACTCATTTTTTGTCTCTGGCGCTTGGCCTATAACTTATTTTCGAACAAGTAATTCAGAAACGAAGATGAACTCAATATACGCTGATGAAATATATGCAGGGTGTTTCTGAATGGTATTTATGTACCTGTTGGAAGGTATGACACACGGTTAGAGAAGTATAGTATACTACTGTACCAATTGTAAAAATAAAAGCAATTTCGAAAAATAATATCAATTATACGTCTGGATTATTATTGGAGTTATTTCTGTCTGTCCAATATGAACAAATGTTAATGAATTTTACTCAGATGATTAACTTTTTAAAAATGGATATATATATATATAAAGAAATACATTGAGAATTCGCATTCTCCATGTGATGAAAATATCAATTCTCTCTCGGTTCATTCAACAGAAAACAACTACTTTCCTGGCTAAATGCCACGAAAAATATTGAATCACATCTATTGCTTACTTACCGATAGGTTCAGTATCGAAATGAAAATTGAAATGTATAGGAGAAATAAATTTGTATGAACTATGAACTTGATGAGCTTGGAACTTAAAAAAAAAAGTCATTCGCATCAGTGATATGGGAATTAAATGTCTCACAAACAGGATATATGAATTCATTTCGGATATCATATCCTCATCAGTAACCTGATAATTGTGTACCCATATCATGGAGAATGACTGAAAGAATAACTGGACTTCAGGTTATTGGTGAGGATATGAAATCCGCTATTTTGTCGCTTGCTATATATATCGTTGAGCGTTGTTTAGTATCAGAGCAAAATTAACTCTGGCTTCAAGGGGTAACTGATATACTCTTCATCACAATTTATGCATGGAATACTATATACTTCATTCTTCTTCTATATTATCTGACTAATTATCTGACAGTATTTATGGATTCGATTGTTAGAAGAATAGATAAAAGAGCAGTCAAAGCTGATAGGAAAATAACCTTTATGTCTAGTTCTCTTTCTCTAAATAGTTCAAGTCATTGAGCATGTTTCAAACTCACATTGGAAGTGAAATTCCTGCATATTTCGTAAGGCTTCTTCCATGATTTACCAGCGGAAGACAATTTCCAAATGAATTCAATATGATACCTCACGTTCATTGCTCTTAGGCAAATCAATTCTATCAGCCTGAAAGCAAAATATCATCAGCTATATATACAGTGTGACCCACTTAAGACCGGAGCACCCTTATAAAATCTATAGTTTTTAACCAATTTCTTTTTTTTTTGTTTCAGCAGGAGCACTATCCTGAGGTCTACGTTCACACAAATTTGCAAAATGGAATTTCAATCTACAGGGCATACTATGTGATTTTTTTCATGTTAAAATTTGCGAAATATCATTAGCGATTTTTTACAAAAAAATCGACCCCACCACTGAATTCAGCATCCTTCAATTACGTTGAGGGCAGCATTTCATTGAAAAATATCAATAGGCAACGAAGTTATAACAACATTAATTTTGATAGCTCACCATCCTCTATGTATATTTCAGACAAATTCCGAGAAGCGGCAACATTGTCAACACAAATGTTGGAAATCATCAACAGGTTTCTGGTATACATTTGAATTGATAACACAAATTATTATCGAGTTGTAACATCTAAAATGGAATTTATATTGTTATTCATGGAAAGATTCATAAAATGAAGAGTCCATAATAACGTCGAAAAATCGGCCTTGTTCATTCAAGTAATTAGAGTTAGAAAATCGGATAGTCTGTATAGTAAGATGATATCAGAAGCCAAAAACATCAAGAGCTTTCACAAAATTGTTGGTTTACATTGATAATTAACTTATTATGGAAAGCTGTTTTTCCGACTTCATTACTTCGTTCCAAAAGGGTACCATTCTAGAGATTATAACTCGATAATAATTTGTGTTATCAATTCGAATGTATACCAGAAACCTCGATGATTTCCAACATTTATGTTAACAATGTTGCCGCTTCTCAGAATTTGTCTGAAATATTCATAAAAAATGGTGAGTCATCAAAATTAATGTTACTAATTGAAATTTTACAATGAAATTTTGCGCTCAATCTATTTGAAGGATGCTGAATTCAGTGGTGGGGTCATTTTTTTTGAAAAAAAGTCGCTAATGTTATTTCGCAATTTTTGAACATGAAAAAAATAATATAGTATGGCCCTGTAGATTGAAACTTAATTTTGCAAATTTGTGTAAACGTAGATTTCCAGATAGTCCTTCTGCTGAAACGAAAAAAAAAAAAAAAGAAATTGGTCAAAAACTATAGATCTTATGAGGGTGCTCCGGTCTTGAGTGGGTCACACTGTATATGTCGGCGTCAAACAGTGGAATTCGTCATTCTCTGGCAATTCCTAGTCATTTCCCGTATTGCCAGCAAACAGCGTATAACTCTAAATTTCGTACACTGTTTGCCTAATAGTTCCAGGCATTCCCTGTAATGACGAAAAGAAGATTAATTTGGGCCGAATCAGCTCAGGTTGGTTAGAAGCAGTAGTATCTTCTGTTCTCTCAAGTAATTTCCTGAAGAACATACTTTCTTGGGAGAAGGTTCAGTTAGGCGGAAAAATAGTCTCCCTTCTTCTGCAGGTAGGATATTTTCTTTCCTCAACCCTCCGGCAAAGAGAGTAACTGCTGAAAATGGAAGGTACGCTGTTACACTGCGAAAAATGATGGTGAAATTCCGTGATATCAACTGTATGTTTCACAGTATATATTCAGGAATTATAATTGTCATGTATATTTAACTCTTTCAGGTACAGGAATTTCGAAACATAACACCCCCTAGATGTACAGCTTTATTTTTCTTCAGATTTTCAAGAGATTCATTAACAAACTACCTCCAAATGTCTCAAAAGATACGAAGAAATATAAAATAATTTCAGAATTTTCCAATTTTTACAAAAAAAAACGGTGGGTCAAAATCTAACCCACCATTCCATAAGGTGAAAGATTTCATGAGAATCGACTCATTTCAAATCACTGTAAAACGTCTGCAAACATGTTTTGTTTTTTGCAAGACAGAGTGGAACACACAACCAGTTTGTTCCAACTTCAAAGTTTCCTGAATTGAAAAGAGCATTATCTCCTTCGACTTATTCCGATAGGTTGATGAGCACCCTGTGTGACTATTATTAACGGGCTTTCACTGAGTGTTCTTCTCTATCTGACTCGTCCATTCGATTGATGTTCTCGATGAAGATACCGATATTTATTGACGACTAAATGATCAAGTCTTTAATTGATAACTTTGAAAGATATAGAGTATTCTGTGAAGAATAAATGAGTTGACTACAGCGGCATCCAAGGAAAAGATTTCATGAATATCTGTTTCTTTATATGTCTTCTCAGTCGTCTGATAATTCTGCTTAGTATATAGATTGATCTTGAAAACTATATGATTCGCTAATTTGTCGTTGATGAACTGACGGTTTCAACTCCGCGATAGGGGTATCAAATCTTCTGGGTCCCATGTATCCATATATAAGTATTGGTGTCTCGATATCCATATCAGACAGTATAATGTTGTTGAAATTGAATTCGACATAATTTTCCTCATCATTATCCTTGAAAAATGTCTTGGTCATGTTGTATGGTGGGAGAAATTTCAAACAGCTCAGATTTTCACATTTTGTGAACAAAAAATAAACATATGAGTTGGAAAAATATAACAAGTAGGTTACCTATGTCGCCTAGATAGTATTTAATGCAACAAAATATGTAATAACATGATAAGCATGAAATTTGCAGCCGAAATTCGAGAGGAGAAACACAGCGTACGGAACGAGTTTCGAGTTTATTCTATTCACTAATAATGTATTGTTTTATTCGCTTCAGCTTAGAACATATGATTCAAAAGACCAATATGAGTGAGTAATATATGGAGCGGGAGAGAAAATGAACCGTCGTACCACAAATAAGCCCATTGCAGAGCGGGATATATTTTGTCCCAGCATACCTCTAACTCCAAGAAATTCGTGGTTCAAATTCTGCACCAAAGTACTTGAAAGAGTTTTAAAGCATTATTTCCGGAGTCTGTATTATTTCTTTTATTGATACGGTGATTTTGAAACTCGTGTGTATTTTTTCGAGGAACACCTTCACTTTGTAGTAAAGTTAATTGTATTTACTGTGATTATGATCACAGGGTATATTGGTAGATGACAATAGCTAGACAACTTGTCAAATAAATAAATCATCAATCAATCAACTCAAACAGTTGTTCTCTATAATATAATAAAGAATTTCTATATAGAACCGCTACAACTTCTCCGTGATTTTTTCTGTAGAATTGCGATACATTTATTCATCCAGTAATTATTATCAAATAGTATGCTGAATTCCGAAATATTCCATTTTGGATATGGTATTGTTTCTTCATACGCGCAGTACATTGCAAGTTCTGAATGATCAAAATGTGAAAATTCGTTATATAATTTGTGAAACTGTGATTCAAATATTAGTAGTGTACATGTGAATCAAGAAAAATGCTACAGTGTGGAAAAGCCGTCTCATTATGTAAAATTCACTGATACATAGTGAAGAAAGCAGGAATGTTATGCATTGCGCTTGCGTCGCGTCGCACGCATCCCCTTCATCTTTGGTACTGACTAGATGAATCAGATCAACGGGTCGTTTTTGGGTGTGACAGTTTTCGTGTTTATCAAGGTGTGTTTCCTTAAAACAATTGCGGTAAGTAGTACCATTAATTTTTGTTAAGGAACTTTTCAAGTATAGTGATGTTTTCATGCAGGTTTTGTTTATACCATTCGAAAATACAACATATATTTTTATTTGCACAGAAATATTGGCCTGCAATACATACAATTCTGTTGTCGTCGAGTCAACTATGGCATCATTTTGAAATCTTATTCAGGTTATAGCAGGCTAGAGGCATATGGGAGGCAACAGAATTGTAGTTCAGGCTAATATTTTCAAAAGACAAATTGGAAAAACGATCAATATTTATTGTGAAAATGATTGTCATGTTCAATGAATCTTATTATGTGGATACTAACTCAGTGATTTTTTTCTCCTTCAGGGTGATATACTGATATACACGAAAACAAAGTTCTCCTAGTTTTTGTGGAACAAGAAATAATCTACCAACAAGAATATGGAACACTTCTGGAGCTGAAGGTGGCGTGACCTTTATATTCAATTCTGAGTTTATAATGTCCATCGAAATTCCTGAGTACATTTGAAAGAATGCAGCAAATGTTTCTAAAAATCCACCCCAATACTGAATCGATGAAGGAAGAAGAAATAACCATGGCAAAATAAAGCAATTTTGAAATATATGCACAAATATAACAATTCTGACATACCATATATATGTGATCATAATATTCAACTAACTCATTATGTTATGTGACAAATAAATACTTTTCAATACTATATTGAATTTTTCATGGATCCCAGTAAGATACTTTGTGGTTTCACATTGTAAAATAACATTGTGAAATAACATGGTAATATTATATCCTGAAATTCTGATGTATTCCTACCCAGGAATCATACTATACAGATAGTGTGGAATATACGAACGTAACATTTCTACATTGCATCTTCACAGTACACGTAGTGATTATTTCTAGTAAGATCCATGTTACAAAACATAATCATTACTGAAATAATACCAACTCTTTTATTGATTTAACTATAATAATTTTTATCAGTGTCCGCTAATTGCCGACAAGACGTGAAATGAATAGGCATTTCAGGGAATGACGGATTCCAATAATTGACGCCGACATATACACCTCATAGAATGTCGACATGATACGATGTCCAATTTTGTTGAAAATTTTCGTAAGAGGAAAGTACAACTTCTCGTGACATGAGATGAATGATAGCGATTAAATAGCGTGATACGAAAAGCATCGAATCCAATAACTTTTTTGGGGTGAACAATATTTCGTGGATGCTATTTTGTGCACTGATGTTGAACCACCATGTTTCCTGGAGTATTTTCTTGCCTGAAATGGTATTTATCGAAAGCATAATTCAACAACGTGTCAAAAAATTTAATTCTAGCTATGGAGAGAAATATTTCATTGAAAATGAGGAGCTTCAAGAGTTCTCAATCTGATTGTGAAGTGCATTAACAATTTGCAAGCAAAGATTCTTCATCGTTCATTATCTGATTTTCAGTTCTGTCAACTATAGTTGATCTTGATATGGATAGTAACTTTGGACGGTTCTATTGTTTTTTTGTATGTGTGCTGAGCGAATAATAATAATAATAATAATAATACTAATAATTCAATCATTCAAATCATCGCTGCAGAGTTGAGACAGAAATCTATATCAATAAATTTATTTTTATTTGGGGAATGAAGGAATATTTTGTTGTAGTCACAAAATATTCTGTTATGGATATGTGGAACTCAGATTTTGTTAAATTCACGAAAGTTTTGTTGATCCAAACTATCATTATTTCCGTGCATAACTTTCTTCTGTTGATCATCGAGGTCAGTGACACGGGTAATGAAACAGTGATTGTTTAAGTTTGATTCATTGTCGCGATGGGAATTTTTTGCACAAAAGTGACGGTACCAATACACACTTTGAGTTAAGTATTCAAAAACTTTACCTATTCATAGACGAGTCGTAGTCAGAAGGTATTGTCTGTGTGTTCATTCCAATCCCCATGGCAGTTTCTGGAAATTGATAAAATTATGAACATACCACCTTTTATTCCACAAGAGAAGTAAATAGATGTTTTTGGCTTTTGATACTTCTCTCTGAAAGATAGCGCAAATTCCTACGAAAGTGGCATACTTGTCAAAAAGGACGCACCTGATTAATTGAAAAATTATATTGTATTCATGATTTCATCGATTTCGATACCTATATAGGTATCGTTTAAATAGCAATGTTCATTGAATTCATAAATAAAATTAATCATCAAAGTAAATCTAGATGTTTTCTATTGTGGCGTATATTTGGAAAATGGAAAAGGGTGATAAATAATGAAATCGAATAAGAAAAATAAAGGACTAAAAATGCCAAAAGAACAGCTAGAGACATCTTACATTTTTTCTCTAAAACGTACCGCAAGCAGTTATAATAAAATCAAGAAAAAATTGCAAACTTTCCTGAAATGATAGACTTCCCAACTAGCATTTTCAGTCGCATTCACTAAGGCTCAAAGAACTATTGCCTATATTCAGTACCAGTTTCGGTATTCAGATCCATTTTGGAACGTCATAGTTGAAAACACAGTGATAGTCATACACTGTGAGCAATCTACGTATAGTTTTTACTATAGAATATCTGGAGAGTATACTAAACCAATAAGTATAAATCAGATTAACTAATTGAACATAACACATACATTCATACATTTGTTAGGTAACGATTACCTTCTCAATTGAATAACTTGACGGTAGCATTTGATTTGTAGTAACTACTGTTGTTTTTATTGAGTGATTTTTTTTTTATAATTTGGCGTAATATATTGATAATATCCATTCACTTTCTGGTGGAGAACTTTAGTATGGGGAATCATATAACTGGGCCTTAAAAGTTACTTTTTGAATCTGAATCCATTGAAGATCAAATTGACCTGAAGTGAACATAAGAATCTTTCATGCCACCAAAAGAGGACAGTGAGCTGTGGATATCTTTTAGTGTATGCCAAAAAAATCTAAATGTTTTCGAAAACACTCAGTTGAAACAATAATTTGATAGTTTTCTTCGAATTTGTGCTTCAGTTCTTTCAATGTGAGTCTGGGATTGTCCTCAATATACTGAACAATTATGTCATGATGTTCTTCAGTGATTTTCTTCCTCTTACTTCCTCCGCGTTGTTTTTCTACTTCGTCCCAATTCTACACCCATCGATAAGCCGTTGATTTTTTCACGCCGAGTGTATCCGCCAGTCCCCTCTAATCACCATCATTTTTAAAAACTGCACAAATTTCTTTTTTGATATTGTCTGCATCCTTTTTTTCAATATAAGGCATATCAACCCAATTAAATGTCAGGAACAATTAATGATCACTATTATTCAATCTCGATTTTGACACAACTTTGACAATTAGAATTTGCAGTTGTTGTATCCCAATTTGAAGTTGTTTGATCCCAAATTGAGAAAGTTCATTCACATGTTGACTGTGTTAATCAACTTGATAGTGTTGATTCCCAATTTGAAACTGTCAATTCTGAATTTAAAAATGATTATTCCCAATTTGATTGTGTTTATTCTCATTTTAAATTTGTTTTCCAATTTGAATGTGCTTGAGCCCAATATGGAATTGATAAGTTCTAATTTGAACTTGAAAAAGTATAGTAATTATTACTTGATGATCGACCCAATGATAGCAATCGCGACAATAAATAAATAAGTTGGCTAATTAATGACAAAATCTGCATTTACCGCAAATTATATCCAATGTGCATTTTGAAATCATATCGTAAAAGTCCACATTTTTTTGTCCCACATGTTCATCCATTTGTTTGCACAGAATCTGAGCTTTCTCATTGAATTTATCCATGAATGAATTCAGAATCTTCTGGCTGAAGGTTGGCATTATCATCTTCCGATGTCGTTTCCATACTTTAACTAAAAAACATACAAGTTTACGGTATACAGGCTGTTCCATCGGAAATATTTCCACTATAATCCTGAGCTCAAAATATGAAGATTCAACCCAAATCACCTAGATTAAATGAGTCTCCTGTCTGAGTTACTTGACGTATAATTTTCATGTTTGGCTAGAAGTGTAGATACTATACTGTCACGAGTGCATGAACATACGATATATTAGTAATTTTGAATCATGAGGGTTTTCATATGGTTTTCTTCTAATATATGGTAGGCGTATGTTGAATTTGTTTTGTTTTTCATAAAATTCATCTCATGTTTATGAATGCGCTGATTGAATGAACGACCTGTCTGACCTCAGGACAAGATCCGCAATTGAGTTTGTATACCCCTGATTTTTCGAATATAACGGAGACAAAAACAGTAGATCTACTGTTAAAATAGTCGGTCTGGCAACGGTGACTACGAATCGACACGCCATAGAATATGTGTGTGGCCTCTCTTAGTTGACGTCACGAGCTGTTTACGTCACAGAGCTCTGGCCTTATTGTCTCGATGGTATAACGGTAGGAGCCAAATAATTCTAGATACCCCACTGAGTTTGAATTCTCGTGAAATATTTTTGTTCCATGTATTGCTCGTCATTAACTAGTCATTGACTAAATAAAGTACAAAGCTACATTCAATGATCTGAATCTTTGACCAATTACTTACCAGAAGCAGCAATAAGGCCAGTTCTTCCAGGATAATCATTGTATCGAATTGTTTCTTGTTTTTCTAAAACATTGTTCAAGAGTTTTTGGACGTACTCAGGTTTTGTTGGGATATATATTAGGTATGGCCCTAGCCATAATCTCATTAGTCCTGGGTATAATCTCAATAATTCAATCACCCTTCGATTTGCTCCTGAAAAAATACTGACATGTTCGGAGTATCAATACAATCATGAAGATGAATAATTAGCCATTGAGTCATAATAATGTTCCGTCTTATTATCACTACAAAATATCCTACAACTCTTACTAAAGTTTTGTCAGTATGACAAGATTTTCAATATTATCTTGACATTTACATGTTGTCACTCGAATGGAATAGTCTTGTTGATCCAATCAAGATGTCAGTTATCTCTAACGACATAGGTATGTCCTATAGGTACGTCCCATTTATGACTCGCGGTACGAGGACACGAATGGGACATCTAGGGGATGTCCAGCAGTGATTGTCATTGTTCTTCGAGAATGAGAAATTGGTACCTAACCATCCTTCCTAGCTACTTTTTATTATTATTAGGTATTCGAACAATTCTTTGTGCATGAAATTGATCATACCTAAATGAATTGTGAAATTATTTTATTCTGAATTGCTGAGATCCGATCTTTCCACAAGCATTGAACAGATAATATATTCGCAATTCTGTCAATACAGGCTGACTCACGGTGGATGGGACTTCAGACGTCTTCAGACATTCGGACATTCTCCAACAAAAATATTCTCGACTATGCGGTGTTGCCGTTTCTATCAGAAAGTAGTAGCAACTTTGACTTTTCGAAAGGAACAACACCCTGTATATACTCAATGAATATATAGGAATCCTCATCAATTTCTCAACAACTTTGAAAATCATCACCTCTGGAAATGCCGATACCTCTCAGTTAAGGCATGTTAAGGAGTACTATGATATCGTGAGTCAGTTTAGAGTTAGGCCATATTCTCCTTCATCGAGCCCAATCCCCGTTACTTCAATACAGGGTGGTAAAATAATACTCATAGTTATTTAGTTTGCTTGAGAAAGTGACTGTGAGTTGATTATTTCGAATGAAACAACCCTGTATGTTATTGAAATTTCTCAAAGTTGCTGATATTTGCCCTCTTTTTAGGAACCCATACCTGACTTGTCGAGTTTTGGACTCATGAACATTATTCATTTGTGGAGAGGTCTCTGTTCCGTATTTGGTAAACTGGCCATTAGTTCAATGTATGTCTTTTGAAATATGAGAATATTCGATTTTGTATTTACATGTGATGGAAAATTTTCTAACCCAAATTTGTTGTTGTGATTCTGACCTAATATAAGTATTAAAATTCGATTTCTTGATGCAAACTCAGAGCTGATTATTGCGTTTTTCATATTTATACTCTGGAAATACCTCTCTCCTGTAATATATTTCATTTTGGAGTGGTCTATCTACCCAGATCTACCCCTTAAGTTCGGGATAGATGGACCATATCAAATCGGGGGAGTTGAACCAGTTTTGAGCAGTATTTTTTCAAAATGCCTACAAAATATCTAAGTAAATTGCGATCGAAAAGGGCTTCCTGGGCCGAAGAAGACTTAAAGAATACCATAGAAGCCATAGGTGCTAATACAATGGGGGTGAATACAGCAGAAAGACACTTCAATCTACCAGAAGCTACTTTACTAAGAAGAAAGAAATCTGGCAAACTAAAAATAAGGGTCATTGGGCCGCTAGAAGAAAAAAATGAGGCGAAATTGGTAGCACACATCAAGAAGCTACAGAAATTTGGGTTCGCCCCAACACGGAAGGATGTGCGGTATATGGCATTTCCTCTTGCTGAACAATTGAAGTTGAAGCACCGTTTTGAACAATCAACAAAATGGCAGGATATGCCTGGTTACAGCAGTCAACAAGATCTGAGCATAAGAATTGCAGAAGGTGTTTCAGTAAATCGTTCCACTGCATTATGTCGAGACACAGTGAATAATTACTTCGAGCTGTTAGAAACGATACTGACCACTAATCAGTTTTTTGAAAAACCTGGCAATATTTTCAATATTGACGAAACTGGATTGCAACTCAACAACAAGCCAGGACAAGTTATACTAGCTAAGGATTTGCTTCATCTCCCCTGGTGGTTCAACTATCCCGATTAGATGGTTCAACTAAACCGCACAATCAGGGTTAGTTGGACCATTATTTTTGATTTTCATTTTTGTCGAAAAAACCTGTTTGTTTTCTGAGTATTTGAGAACCGTTAGAATCAAAGTAGATTGAAAGGTTTGCAATGAAAATTGTTTCATTTCAGTTGAGTTATATTTGAGGAACTTATGAGTGAAATGAAAAAGGTGGTCCATCTCTCCCATAATTACCCTATAATTCAATGTTCGTCGTGGCATATAGTCAGGAAAGTAGTTGTTTTCTGTTGAATAGTCCGAATGAGAATTGATATTTTCATCACATAGAAAATGCGAATTCTCAATGTATTTCTTTATATATATATGTATCCATTTTTTTATGTTCATAATTATATCTGAGGATATGCATATCCAATACAACAGGAATAGTTGAAACTACCTTCAAAAACTATTCAGATGAACTTGTTATAAATGTATGGAAAGATCAATGAAATTTCTTGTTTTTTATGTTCTGGTTCCCTCGAAGAGAGATATCCTGTAATGTTCAGAGAACATCGTGAGAACCAAGGGCAATAAGGTAAGAATTGGTGTTCTTTTTGAATTTCTGGAGGTTATATGCCTCGAGAAACACCTCCCTTGGCAATATGTTCCAAAGCCTCGCTTTAAACGATAAACGAGTCTTTGGAAATAGATGTTCTGCAGGTCTCCAATGTGACCACAAAGGGGTGCAAAGCTTCAACTCGACGGGTTAATTCGCGGGGACTGACAAGGAAGGAACAATTTTTGATATTTCAGAAGAGCATTGTCCATGGAAATATTTATGAAATGGAGCCAGATCACCAACCTTCACACGGTGTTCCAGAGAAGTGAGTGAGTTTGTGTATTCAGAACAGATTCAATGCATTTTGATTACCTTTCAAAAACCACCAAGGTATACTCGAAAGTGGAAATATTGATATGAAATATAGTTATCCCCTTGTTGGGTAGTGCGAAAAGTAGTACTCTTTTGCTCGCTCCTCTGCAAGAGTGAGGTACAATAATTTTTCAACGAGTGTTTCTGGCCATATTATTTATGAAAAAATAAGGTTATAGTCCTGAATATCCCCATTTTCAACAATACAAAAATCTGGCGGAAAAGTAACTTTCTAGCACTATAGTGCAGTATTCTGACTTACCTTGTAAATCTGATAGAAACAGATATGAGCATCCCACAAGAGGAAATGCAAATGGGCCAGGTGTGTTCCATGAATGAATATACATTTTCCTTCTCCCCCAAAGGAATTTCAGATACCATATTGCCAAAATGGCAGATACTGTTGATAATAACAGAAACATACAGGAATGCGATCACTTCCTCTGCAAAGGTCAATGGGAACTTGTCAATCTTTGTGAAATCAAGAGGATTTTGTATCGATCTAAATCGGAACATTATTAAATGTTGCAAACTTAATAGCTATCAACAAACATTCAATTAACTTTTCAACATTATTTTGCAACAAGAAATCACACTTAGTGAATGATGACGATTATATGTTCACTGAAAAAAAACCTTATTCATTGTTAACAAATCGATTTACTCTGGCCTTGTTAGCTGAATATTAACGATAATCATTGGATAATATGAAATTTCGTTGAATATTCCAACTACGAAATAGCCAAATTGCCAAATTTTCAATAAATACAAAACTGAAAGGCATCTCCACAAATATTCAGAAAATGAACGAGAATGGTCGATGACGAAAGAAGAACACTACTTTCTTGGCTAATTCAACGCCGAACATTGAATTCATTCTCCCGAAGAATATATAAAGGAATACTGATGCAAGTGTTACTTTCCTTAATGCCTATTCAGTTCGATTGTGCCAGATTAACGCTCGACACCTACAGATCAGTTTCGGGCCTTGACCCTCATCAGTGTGGGGTAGTCTTCAGCTAGCAGTCCTGGCACCGCCAGCTAAGAGTAACCTGGTTCCACCAAAATCTACTAGACATTTCATACCCGCAGAGGCATCATCTACAGGCAACATGGATGTAACGCCATCTAGAGTAGATGGAGAACAACACTACAAAACTGAAATTCATGTCTCGGTGAAGAATGGTATCTGTTGATTGCCAGACTGGTCTTATTTCAACTACGAAATAGCCAAAATGCTCAAAGTGGAATGAAATGTTGAATACGTACAAATGCTCATGAAATGAATGGCTAATGCCATGCACGCAGAATATAGAATTACATCCTTCCGAAATCTATGCATCAATTCGTATTCGAGAATACTGATGCAAGTGGTTCCTTTCTTGATTTCGATTGATTTCGATTAAGCCAGGTTTGCGCTCGACACCTACAGATCGGTTTCGGGCTCTTGGTCCTCATCACTGTAGGGTAGTATCTAGCTAGCAGTCGCGAGATTGCCTGCTAAGCGTAATCTGGCCCAACGAATATTTGCTCGACATTTTATACCCGCAAAGGCATCTTGGAGCATAGAAACTGTTTTCTCAGTGTGGAGAATTAGATCCATATGAATTCTAAGTGAGCGACATGCTATCATCACACGAACAACAGTGGAGTAGCTTATGTGTATATGTTGGGGCTTGGAGACAATTATTCAATCGTGACCTCTATTTCTAAAAACTTTTTTATTTTCATCAGAGATGTCATTGTTTTCTATTTACCTTTCATCAAATCGGAAGTTAACATCGCAAAAATATAACCAGCTCACACCAGCTAACACTATCGGAAGTCCCCTGACGTCCTGATTGTTTCAGTAAGATTCAACACCGAGATTCTTGCAACATCGTATGGTGTCATAAGTTCTTATCTACAGAGTTACATAGTTACACTATGTAGAGCAGAGCTTGACGAAAAGTGCACCGAGCAAAATCTAGTTATATAAGTCTCCATTCAAAAACATCTTATAACTGCTAAATGGAATATTTCAACCACGAAATGTCATCTGATGAACGTGAAAAGTCAAAATTTTCAACGTGAAACAGGTAAAATTTTCAAATAACTTTTTTTGTTTCAAGGAGTTTATACCTTATAGACTTGTTATGGAACAAGATTATAATTGGAAGATGAAATTCAAAAGATAATCATTCAATTCCAAGATGTCATTTCACAGTTATACAAGTATCATTCGAGTTCCATCCCTTCACCATTTACTATCTTTGTCATACTAGTTTACCACAATCAGTCATCTCACTCACTTATGAACACTTGTACCATCAGAAACGTTAGTCTCTTTTAATGATAGCTGATATGTAAGAACATATTAGCCCGCAGCAGCTCGTGAACCCTATACTTATAGGGTGATTTTTGTTTGTTGAAAAAGGGAAGTAGGTAGAATTCCTTCTAGAAATTTCAGTGACATGTTTGTCAATATACCCCTCAACTATAGGAACTACAAGGAGTAGAACTGGTCTGGTCATTATAGTGTTTTCACGATAAATCGGTGATGTATCGGAATTCTTCCAGTTTGGATAAAATTTTGTATTTTTTTACTATTTCACGATCCACTATGATGGTGGTGAAAGCATGGATTCTCACAGTTATATCGGTGATAGATTGTATTACGTATACAGTATGTCTAAGATAAGGTTGTCCTCGTATCCTTATCTTGGACACGGTGTATATGTATTCATTCGATTTGTATGATTTCATTTGCTGCTTCAAAATTCACGAGAATTGTAGCCGAAAATTCATCAGACGAAAATAAGGTTCTTTATTGTGGTTTCGTGATTCGTGAACCTTTATTTACTGACGCTACCGTGTAAATTTCTGGCCACTATGTTAACTAATAATACAAAGTTGTAACAAAAAAAAAATAATTCAATATGGGAGCATTTTCATCGCTCTTGAGATGCACTTCAATGCCCTGTAGTTTCCATCAGAAACTCTACTCGGGGGTAAGTTTATATACTTCGTAGATATATCTTCAATATTTCTCGACGATCTTCAACCAATTTCAATTGTATGAAAAAAAAAATAGTCACCCTCATACTGAAATGAATGAAATCATTTGACTATTGAATTGAAAGAAAATTATTTTGATATGAGTATTATTCCATTTTTATAATATCACTATCAGATATTGAAATGCTAATTATTCGACCTCCATATGAGCGCTACTTCATTCTCATAAAAGTAGTATTTCACAGTTATATGAATTTTTGGAAATGATGGGCTTGATTACAGTCAAAAGGAAAGTATGCTGGCGCGTATTCAATTCAGAAATGATCTGAAGGTTATAACTCTCGGTGTGCCTCGGGCACTCTTGAAAAGCTCCTCAAAAAGTAATTCGACACATCGAGCACTTAGCACTAAGCACTAAGCAGTTTTTTATAGAATGATACTGTCATACACTTGAAAAAACTCTTTGACACGGTTTGTGTTTGTCAACTCAGCCGCCTTCATTTCCCTTCAGATTTCAATGCAATTATAAATTAGCACTCACCTATGCACTGAGACCTCAACTGAGTATGCTGTGATTTTTAAAAAGATACATATGGAAGCGATGAATAGTTCGTCATGAGTGAGAGTACTACCGGCCATGTTCTCAATTTTTGACAAGTGGTAGGTATGGTAATGCTTAATGCTCATGGGCATTTTAGTGCTAGGGAGCCTTCTTTGGGATTTTTTTATCGCTTGGAGCGCACGGAAGGAAATCCCTTTAATGTTCAAAGAACATCGTGCGTTCCTAGGCAGGATAGGGATAGGAGGTAGGTATTTTTTGAACTTCTGGAGATTATATGTTGTTGGGAATACTTCCTCAGGCAATGAATTCCAGAGCCTTTTCGTAAAATGCAAGAAGCACTAAGCACTAAGCGCTGGTTCTAAATAGTGCTCAGGAGCACAATGCTCACGAGCACAATGCTTTGGGACAGCTCTGCACTAGAATACCTAGTGCTTATTTGATCAGAACATTCGTTTTTGTGGTGGAGAAAAGTAATATTGACTTTTTATCGAAGACCATGCGAAATACCTACCTTTCTGTATATTGATTCAGATGGTACGACATGTTTTCCATGCACATTGACTATAGTACATTGTCCAACGATTTTTAGAGCAGTCTCTTCCAAGGATTTCCAAAATATTAAACAAAATTTGCCAATAAAATTGTTATTCATTGCCCTCTAACGGCTCAACGTTGGATTTTCGTATGGATTTGAGTTGATGATTTTGGTCTCCAGTTCGCCAGTAGAATTTATAACACTTTTGTTCTGAAACACCTTGTATAAGGACGAGCCAAACAACAGCTGTGAGTCAGATAATCGATGAGTGTCGAAGGGACAGTAGTAGTTATTAATTTATTATCAAGAAGTGTCCATTCTGGAGTCCATTGCTGTTGATATTTTCATTATACAATAACTATTCCACATTAGATCGATCAATACATAATTCTGATCAATATTGAACTGAGATTTCACGCAATAATTGAATTCACGAAAAATTGTTTGTGAGATAGCAAACATATGTGTTTTCAAATGGAAAACCATGAATTTCATAAGATTTTGGTATACCTCAAAGAAGAGGATTCAAAGATGTATGATAAAATGGGTCTGAGATCACCCGTTTCGGACTTATACCCGATCTCCTTCAATAAATAGTCGAAGTTCAAAGCCCAATAGGAACGTTGAGATTCAAGTTTTTGATGTGCAATTGTTGTCATGAATTCACATTTTTTCATTTTATCTGACCTTAGGTCTGAATTCAGAAGTTTTGAATTTGCCAAAAGTAACAAGTATTTTGCAAACCGATTATTTTCTCGAAATTTTCAAATGAAACACCTTGTATTTCATTCGTTCCCTAGATTTGTGAGCTTCGTGGGCTTCATAAAATAAGTATATACATGTATTGAACACATCAATTTGAAACAATATCATGATGATTCTCGAAATATTAGTTTTTACCTGAGTCTCTCGATCGAAGAGGGATTCAATATCATGAAAAAATGTCAGTGCGATCTTATCCTTGATTAAATTCTGTCCCCCATATGTATATTCATGGTACCATTCTATAGTATCATAGATGGTTTGTTTGATCAATGATAGCATCTATACGTTGAGCGTGCGTAGGGTGAACGTTGAAGCTCAATATCATTTTCTTCGTTTTCTACTGTCCGTTTTATATATTGCCACAATTTCGGAATAACCCTGTAATAGAACTTTATAAACTGAATTTTCTAGATCATTGTACATTTCTTCCGCAATAACGTGTATTTTTCGAGTGCATAGTTGATGAATAATATTTTTTCAATCATTGAGCCTCATTGGCCTTGCTTTGGCGACGCCTATGTGTAAGAAATTGAAACAATATCACTATCATTATAGTTTTCGTACCAATATAATTACTTATAATCAGTTAGCTTTAAATCTGAGTAAACAACAAATTAATTAGAAATCATGCAAAACAATAACGAAACGTCATAGGAATACACATGACATGATAATATTCGTATGGTCCGAATATCATTACTATTCTGCGAAATATACGCTTTCACTACATCCATCAAAATTGTTAATGGAGAATAACATTTAGTTGATATGTGCAACCATGAAACGGCAATAAATGTTAGGTTAGGTTAGGGTAGGTTCAAGAGTGTTCAAGGTGAGTAGGTCTAATCGTTTCTCTACGGCGAACTATAAATGATCCATTGTAGCTCACATCAATTCATATTACATCAAGTCATTCCAGCTTCTCAATGAAGTCGATAAGTTCACTTGGTGGATGATCTCACAGGTCCAAGGGTGAGGGTGATACCCTGCTGCCAAACAGGGAAATCCTGGACGGCACGTTGGACCTTCCAAAAGTTCAAGTTTTGACAAAATCATGGTAAATCAGATGACAGTGACCTGTTAGAGATCGTAGGAATCGTAGGTCATCCCTGCTGGAGTCTAACATATTTTATTTTCTCTTCCTTCCTCATTCGGAGGATGTATTACTATACCTTCAGATGAGTCAATTCTGGTAGCTTTGTCCAGAAATCCGAAACTATTCTGGCAGTCCTGGTAGTCAGTATCTTTTTGGCCCAACTCGGTGAGTTGCTAATGGCAGGTTTTGGTCCAATGAAACCACTTGCAGCTTCCTTCCTAGCAAGGTAATTCGCCGTTTCAGTGAATTCTATACTCCTGTATATGAGAAATCTATATAGACCAGAGACAATTTGTTGAGTCTTGAGTTGAATTATTTTTGGCAGTTCAATACAGAATCAGAAAATTAATATACCCCTTGATATATCACCTCCTCGATTAACCTACAGACAATACAGAATCAGAAGTTGATCCGTACGATCTAAGTGCTCTCAGAGCCGCTTGTCTATACAGATATATCTCCATTGTTTTATGTGTGATGTTGGTTTTCTTCAATATCTTCACACATAACTCAATGGCGTGTATTTCCGCCTGGAATACGGTTACATAGTACCTAAGGCAAAAGTGTCTTCGCACCATCTGTGAACCAACAGTTATTTTTGTCCAGTAGTGTCTATTTTTGAGGGAACCAGTCATCTCTATCCGGAATTAGGACGGTATGAGGCTGGTCATAGAATAGTATTGTAGGCCATATATCGAAGGTTATTTTCAGAATACAGTGACTCTATTTGCATTACAGGATATAATCCATCTAGCCCCCTTTTCTCCGGAAAGATGTGGAGAGGAGGTAGGTCTAGCAAAATTTCTATAGCTACTGACAAAGTGGTACTGATGACTGCAGTGATCGCCAGACAAGCCTTACTCCCTTTACTATACAAAGTTTCGCTTTCACCGTTCTCTGTGCGGCCAAGCAATGGCCCAATGAATGATTATTGGTCTGACAATTATCACATAATATCAAGTGAATTTGTTTGGAACCTAAGCTCCAAGATCGTCTACGTGAGTTTATAATCCAGGATTAGGCATCGAGACTTGACTTCCATTGAATGAAAGTGGTTTTAGACCCTCTAGGTTTCTTTCTCTACTGAAGTGTACTATTGCTAGGTGTGTCTGAGATGTGTTACTCCTAGTACCAACTGTAAACATGATCCAACAATCTTTGGAGATTATTCTAGACTACCCTACCCGTCATGTTCCTTGCCTAGATGGGAAGATCACCTGCAGCGTTACTGCTCTGCTGTCGATGACATAATGTAAATAATTGATCAGGAGTGACCACGGAGAGTGGAATAATACCTCGCATTACTCGCTATACTATACAAAGCTTAACTTTCACCGTTCTCTTTGCGGCCAAGCAATAGCCTGATAAATGATTTTTCGTCTGACAATTATCACATAATATCAAGTGGATTTGTGCGGAACACAAGTTCCAAGATTGTCTACGTGAGTTTAATCTCCAGGATTATGCCAAGAGACGTGACTTCCATCGAATGAAAGTGAGATTAGACCATCTAGGTTTCTTTCTCTACTGAAGGGTTCTATTGCTAGGTGTGCCAGAGATGTGTTACTCCTATTTCCAACTGTGAACATAGTCCAACAATCTTTGGAGATTATTCTAGACTACCCTACTCGTCATGTTTCTTGCCTAGATGAAAAGATCACCAGCAGCGTTACTCCTCTGCTGTCGGAGGGAGAAATATTACCTCGCATTACTCGCTATACTATACAGAGCTTTGCTTTCACCGTTCTCTGTGCGGACAAGCAATAGCCTAATGAATGATCATTTGTCTGACAATTATCAAATAATATCAAGTGGATTTGTTCGAAACCCAACCTCCAAGTTTGTCTACGTGAGTTTCTTATTCTGAATTATGCCTAGAGACTTTACTGCTATCGAATGAAAGTGGGATTAGACCATTCAGGTTTCTTTCTCTGCTGAGAGGTACTATTGATATGATTTTCAGAGATATTTTTCTTCTAGTACCAACTGTTAACAGATTTCAGCAATTTTTGGAGAATATTCTAGGATACCCTACCCGTCGTAGTCCTTGTCTAGATGAGAAGATCACCTGCAGCTCTACTCCTCTTCTGTCGAGGACATTGGGTAAATGATTGCTCAGCAGTGACCACAGAGGGTGGAATAATACCTTGCCTTTGGGGGAAACTCCTGAAAACCTTGAATCTGGTGGCATCATCTCAAGGACATATAGTATAAAGTATAGCTGTTTTGTTTATGTGCATGGGGATCAACCCCAGCTATAGTGATGGCTTGTTAGGAACATGGGATTCTTCTTTCTTCAAAACTTATTAAACAATGATACAGATTCAACATTTTGTGCTAATTGAATATTTTGGACTCCTCTGACATCAAGTATTAGAATAGTCATTCACTCATGTGGAATCTGGCAACGCTGTATCGATTCTGACGTGAGTGTCTCAAATTTTCATGATTTTAATGAATTTTCAACATGTTCTAGACAATTATGTAATTGAGTTCGCATGCAGCGACGCCATCAATCAAATTTGAATTGTAAATTGTATTTTGTTGAAATTCATTGAATGATGCGGAAAAACTGCATACGCAGCCCTCGTGTGGGAAGTCCCTAAATTATCATCTGATTATATGATGAAGTAAAGACAGGTATTCTTGAACAATCATTTAACGCCATTATGCTTTTCTGCAGACTTTTGGTGTCACTCGTATCACAATAAACTACTTTGCATACATTTCCATGAAAATATCACCACGATAAAATATCCATCAAATATCCCAATCGGAGCTCCTTATACTCCGAATCATTCAGCAAACCAGTATTAAACATATAAATAGAAACAACAAAACTGACAACGGCACTGATAGAAGACTATACGTCACACAAATTGGGAGTGGCTGATTCCTACACATGAATGAGCCATCGACCTTATGAGTGGTTCTATAGACTGTGTGTGTTCTATGTAGGCTTTGTTATTGATTTCATTCGCCACTTTAGGAGCAGTATTTCTGATAGAAACGCAACAGTTGATCGTGCAGAATAAAGGGGAGAACTGGTCATTGATCCTAAGTAGGCATAGTCGCCATATGTCCCCTTTCATCAGATATTTTGAAGAGCTGTACTGTTCCACGTCGGAATAACGAATGTTCTAGTTGTCCTCTGAATGTTGAAGGTTGTATGTGGCCTCTTTGAATTTTTACGAGAATGATCTATATTTGGTGAGTACTGATATCAGAAATGTTCGCATTATTGTAGTGATATATCAAGTCCTGCTTGTTTTTTTTTTTCATGAAGGTCAAATAACCATTACCTTGCATCCCGTTATGATGCATTGAATATTGCATACGAGATTAGCGTAGAAAAAAAAAATTCTAAAATCATGCAGTTTCTGCATGTTGGTATTCCTAACACTGACCTTCGATGGCATAGTATGCCATCATACGACTAGGTGATAATATACTATGCCATCATAGGACTAGATGGTCCTGTGTTGATCAATTATCTGTTTTTCAGAAAGTAATGGCGGAAAATCAGAACAGACATCAATGGAGTGAAGTGAACATGAACAAGGCAAGAAAATTGAGTATGCCATCATAGGAAATCAAATGATATCATCATATTCACACCTTCGCAATGCTCTTCAATTATATAGTAATGGAAAACTAGAGACTGATGAAGAAAATTCACTCGCGAGTCGCGAATATCAATTTGTTACTTTGATATCGAGATTATTCGTGAGGGGTGCCATCATAGGTAGTTCTCCCCTACTCCAGCAAAGACTACAAAAAATAGAATTTATAACTCGCTTGCTGAATGAAAATGTTCTGCTCTGCCGAAATATGGAATAACAACCTCTCGATGTTCTGATTACTGATCAAGTGCCTCATTCACAGCGCCATTCCGCCTCCTGAGTTGGTACATTATTCTACCCAAAATAGCAAGATTCAGGTCATTTTATTCGTGATACAAATCGTCTGTTATTCAGTTTCATTGCTATTCTGTTCACTAGGTAGGAATGGCAGAAATGAAATCACCTACCGACAAATTGAAAGTATAACATTTTATTCGTTGAAAATGAAAATCAATCAACCTTCCATTAGGTATTCAATTCACATCACCGTCACCTATATGGAACAATTTAACAAACGACAGAACACAATAACGAATCACCTCCTTTTCATCGATAATTTCGCTCCATCTTTCAGCTTGAGTGTAACCAGCGGAATCACCCTAATTTCTTCCAAAGATTTGTATTCCGTGAAAAATCTGTACTTCCTTATAAGATGTACAAACATCGTCATCACACTCATCATAGCATATCGACCTCCTGTGAAATAAAAATGAAATCATTTTATTTGATTGTAGTGCAGTCAAAGTGAGACAAACAGAATCATTGAAAGATATCATTGTTGTCAATTCGATTATAAGATGTTGAAAAAATTTTGAAGCCGGAAAATGTCACTGAAAAATGGAACACTCGATTTTTTTCATCAGAATTCGATCAATGAAAATGATTGTTGAGTATTTGTTGTTGTTGAACATGTTTTAATGACATTATCCTAAAGACACTTATTAGTCTCAGATTAGAAACAAGACACACTATCTAAGTCATCTCCAAAAATTAATCAGTGTATATCAGAACCATCTGAACATGTTTCGGACAGAAAATAGTCTATCATCAGCAGCATTATTGAAGGAATTTCCACGAAGAAAAATGTTTTTTCATAAGACTTAGAAATCGACCAAAGTTATTTACTCAGGTGAAAGTGCAAGAAGGACCACCGAAATGTTACAATTAAATATTCATAACAACTTATTGAATTCATTTTTGTGGAAATGAAATAGGTAAGATAGCCCACAGTCCTAAGGGGGCTTCATGGAAGGTACATCCACCTGGTCATCCAGGAGAATGTCGAAAAAATGGACTTCATGATTATTAACAGTGTCAAGGCCCGGACGGACCTCGGTCGGACCTCGGTCGGACCGGAACCCAATCTTGGGTATACCAAATAGCCTGGCAATGTCTTCTATAGAGGAACAGCTGCAAAAGCAATTCCTCAAAATATGGCAGGACACACCAGGAATGAGACAATCGAAACTCCACATAAAGGAACCTTCGAAGAGGCTCGCAAAAGAGGTTTTATTCCAAAACAAGCGAAACCTTAAAATGGTAGTCTCAATAGGCACCTAGAGCTTATTGGGATCAAGGATGACCCCCTTTGCAGATGGTGCCTGGAAGATGACAAAACGTCATCACATGTCCTCACTGAGTGTCCAGCACTGACGCATCAGAGGAGGGCTGTCCTTGGCAACATAATTTTGAGGCCAGAGGACGTGAAAGAGATTCAGCTGAGGAAGCTGCTGAACTTCTCCAAGGCAGTCGGCATACCCAGCTGAATGTCGTAACATGTGGGCGCACAATGGGCCCGAATAAGGAGGCCCACGTGCAGGGGGTTCACCCGCCCACCAGTTCTTCGAAGAAGAAGAAGAAGAAGAAGAAGTGTCAAGGCCCTAAGGTAACCTGTAAGAGGAAGTGGCAAGTGACATACTCTTGCAGTTTACCTTGACATCATCAATTATGATATATATTCTTGTTAAATTTTAATAGTATTCCTTGAATATAAAAATATAGAAATAGTGCTGGTATTCATTCATTTATGATACTTAAGTCATATCGAAATTGTAATTTTCCAGTGTGTGTCAAAATACTATATTTCATATAATATGTTGATATTGTATACAATGACGTTACTGTTCTTTTCTTCAGATTGTAATTTTTGAATGAAAGTCATAGAATAATAGGTAGGTACTTAGTTTTTAAATGATAGTATGTAGGTGCAACCCATGTGGAAACAATAATTTTGTATCACTGTGTTATCCTGTCATTGGAAGGACTATTTATATAGTTCCTCTGTTATATAACCTTGTTTTCTAAATAAATAAATAAAAATAAATAAATATTTATGAAATAGATCTTTCACGAGAGTTGAAAATGTACAGGATGTCTTTTCTCCAATTTTGCGATTCGCATCTGTTATCTCATCTCAACTCTCATCGAGTTGTCAAACACTAATCATAGATGGCAAAATATCTGTAATTGATGTATGTTCTTCATTTCTGTATGTAATAGTTATTCTGATGGGGCGATATCCATACATGTGGAACAAACAAAATCTGAAGAGTATTTGAAATGTTTTGAGATCCTGAAATTCGAGGCTTCAGAATGGGTGTATCATCACCAACTCCTCAGCATATTACATGCCCTTGGAATGTGTTTTCTGTTCTTTCATCAGGAATCGAAACTCCTCGATTTATTCCCTAGGGGAATTTCCTGACCATTCTGGACCACGATACTTAATTTTGGGAACTGTCGCTGAATTGAATACTCACCAATACAATTTCTAGGACCACCCATGAAAGGCAGATAGCTGAAAGCATGCCTACTCGTTTTGTTCCCTGGAAGAAACCGATCAGGATCAAATTTGAATGGATCTGGCCAGTAGTTAGGATCACGGTGGATTGCAAGAATGAAAATTATCACAGATGCACCTCCAGGAATTGTATGTGTGTCATCTGGAATAAACAAAACTCAATTCGTGCCAAAGAAGATTTGTGATTTTTTAAATTTTTCCAGTCAGAGCTAGAGGATAATTCTGCTATTATTATTGTTCACCCATGAGGTCATCTTTATATCGACTCACCTAATCGTAGGTCAGTTTCAACGCTTCTCAGAACGAATGGTACCGTTGGGAGTATTCTCATCGTTTCTTTCAGTACCAAATCTGTGAATGTCAATTTAGCAAGGTCTTGCGGCTCTACTGATTTATCTGGACCCATGATTTCCATCACTTCTTCGTATACTTTATCCTTAAAATTTAATGATCTAGTGATTTTATCCTCATTCTGGTGTTTATTCATTATATATTTATAACAACGGTAGCTATTCACTATCATGTTTTCTCTCACATGAATATTTTTCGATGATATTTTCAGAAGAGATCTCAAATTTTGCAAACGTATACAAAATAAATGTACCTGTATATCCTGGTTCATTCCCAAAGTTATCATCATATGCTCTAATGTTGACGCCGATGTTTCTGATCCCTGACCCCTGATCCCATCAATCGATTATTTTCTGGTTTCAGAAAATAACTGATATTCATTTCAATGGTGGCTTTCGATTTCATCAGTTCCAAGATATTATTTGGGTGGAAGAGAATAAGAGTTTCCTACTAGTAGCGCTCTCATAAGGGCACGGGGAACCCCTTGAAAAAAACGTTAATTTATGATGTTGTCAAAACCCTTTGGCATTTTTACCCTCCATATGTCATGTTGGTATATGAAATCTCAATGGGAATAATGGTATGCGCTCTCAGGGCACGGGGCCCTTAATTTGTTTTTGATAACAATTCCACAACGAGTAGCATCAAATTCTTCAACTCCATTAAAATTCGTGGAGATGACTCCGAGCAATCCTTTGAAAAATTTCACTCCACTTTGAGCAATATGGATTTCTACCAAATATTAATTCAGAATTTCTATCAACACCCTGTATGATGACTATCAATTCGTCATACATCCTAACGAAACCTTCGATGGCAAAAATATGACATGAGTGATCCAAATATCGAATTACAGAATGAACAACATATTGGTTTCAGTTTTTTCTATGAAGGATATCTCAAGATATCCATCTCCTCCATTCCATTATCCTCCTTACCTCAATCATACTATGAATAATTTCAAAAACTTACTTCGCATTCTTGGTCATTGAAATGCGTACTGTCGAACACATAATTATTTGCACAAGAGTACGAATTTACACATTTTTGTTTCTAATTCAATCAGAAACTGATCCCAGTTTATAACTTTCAAGTGGGTAGCAGAGTCAAGCTATAATCTTCAAAAATAGTGAATGCGTACTATTATTGCAAACATTCAGCCAATAACAATCTTGAAAGTAACTTGGTATATCCTTGTTCTTGTCACACACAGTATAATAATCAAACAGGTAACTTACTGCTGCTAAAATCGTTCCAACCTCGTCATTCAGCTCTTGTTCTGTGAAACTTCCGGATCTCATCATCAATTCAATGAATGATGGTTTTCGTTCAGAATCAACTATAAAAAGAATAAATAGGAACCAGATATTCGAAAATTGAGTGAGATATATTGATAAAACTTTTTATGTAAGAATATGCAATCTGAAATATTATGACGAGGCCAAGGGTAAGTGCACACAAACAAGCACTTCCCGAAAACATGTTTTTGACGAATCTAACGATACACGGACACGTCAACTTTTGTTTCAAGATGCGCATCTTTTGGAGTCCTCGTCGGAATGGTGACGTCATTACTGTTCTGGAAATGTCATCATCGATTTTTTTTTCAATGACAACCTATAGTTTCAACAGTGTCATTTGAAAGAGCATATTTTTCTCCATACAGCACGTTGAAGGTTTTCTCATGTCACATAAGGAAATTCTCGAGAAAATTAATGATTTATTGATTTTATGTTAACTCACTTTATTCGGTTAGTTGAACAAACTCATCAATGAAGGGTTCAAAAAGTCCTTCCTAGCTCTAAGAAGTCCTCTGTCAGCACGCCACTGGTGTGTTCGTTTTTGCTAAGCCATAAAAAAATCACTCTTTTTATTATCGTGAAAAGACCTGTTATTGTTTGGTTGATGTATGCCACAATTGGAAAGTTCATATTTCATTGATTTTCATTTCCGAAACAATTGAGAACAAAATCCGCCTTTCTGTTAGATCGATAATCGAAAGAGAGAAGCGTAGTCGGACTGTTCAATACTAAATACTCCCCATGACTCAATCGGCAGTGAGCAAAGTTGAGAATAAGTTTCGAGACACTGGAAGTATTGATGGTCTCCCTGAAGCTGGGCGTACTAAAATCAACGAGGAGGTCAAATTGAATGTTTCATTAGCAATGGAGAAAAATCCACCAGCAGCCTGAGAAACCTGAGCGAAACTCTAGATACCCCAGTTACAACTAATACACACCGACGGATGAAGTTCTGCCAAACGTTAATGGATTTGTGCAATGCCGATCCTTTGCTAGTAAAAAATATTGCTATCTATGATGAAGCTACCTTCACACTAACAGGAACGATGAATCGGCAGAATTGATCAGAGAACATCAAACACAGTATTCTCAGAAAACTAATGTTTGGGCGGCAATTGTAGAAAACAGAATTATTGGACATAACTATTTCAAAGAAACTTTAAAAGGTCCAAGAATCAATTCCAACAGGATGATGTTATACCCAGTCTGGTGATCTTATTTCCTAACGCAAATAACCCTGCTATACCTAATGAGAACTTATGGTACCAGCAAGATGGTGCACCGCCGCATTACGTAGCTGATGTTAGAAGGTATCTTGACTATAAGTCTTCGCCAATAGATGGATAGGTAGGCTATTGAATGGCCCCCAAGATCTCTGGACGTCACTTCATTAGATTCTTTTTTTTTTAGGTCATCTAAAGAATTTTGTTTACAAAACTAGACTAGATAATATCAAGGAATTGGAAACTAGGATTGCGAATGAATGTAACAATATTATTCCACGAACTATCACGAAGGTTCTACAAGAATTTGTTGACCGTCTTGGATACTGCCAGGCTCAGGAAGGACTTCACTTTGAACATTTGATCAATTAGTTTGTGAAATAAATTGAAATGAAATCAGGATAACATTAGATTTCTCGAAAATTCCCTCATGTAACATGACAAAACTTTTGATGTGCTGTGTGAAGAAAAATATGCTCTCTCAAATGGCACTGTCAAAACTATAGGTTGCTGTTTGAAAAAATTATCGACGGTGGCATTTCCACAAAAGTAATGACGTCACTATTCTGACTGGGACTCCAAAAGATGCGAATCTTGAAACAAAATTTGACGTATCCAAGGATTTTTCTGAAAAGCGTTTCCTTTTCGAGATAATGAATTTATTCCTCACTTTATATACATACTGTATATAGAGAAATACATTGAGAATTCGCATAAACAAAAAACAACCACTCAATTCAGAATTTCTGTCCACGTCCTATATGACGAATATCAATTTGTCATTTCAAAAAAATACATCAAACGTACCATCGAAATTTCCAGATTCATCCTCTATTTCTTGGTTTTTCATTTTGTTCCTTATCACCTGGAAAGTAATGATCTATAAATATTCATAGAATGTATTCAATGCCAGGAAATTTTTTATATATTGTATAGCTGGAGGACTACAAGTATTCCATGTAGATTGGGAATGATCGATTATAGCAGCATATATACAAATATTCAAGTTAATCATCATCCAACTACTTGTTGCAAGCCGAAAAACTTTAAATGAGTGGCATCACCCTGTATACTGTGAACGTCCATATTAGTGCAGTAGTTGAGAATGCAAAAAAAATACAAGTCGTCCCCATAATATTCAATTTCATAAGATTCATAGGTATAAAAGGGAAACATTTTACAGATCTATTTAAGAATACATCATTGCCCCCACTGTGTCCCAGGCAACCAGATGACGTTCCAGTGACGTCTTTTTTTACGTCACTTTAATGACCAAGGTAACGTCAGTAGTTGACGTCGCATGACGTGATAATGACGTGAATAAGTCCCAGCCCAATGACGTCATATTACTCACGTCGTATTGACGTCATTCACTCACCAAACTGTGACGTCCGACTGACGTCATAATGTCGTCAAAATGACGAATAAATTTGGCGATGATACGTGATAAACACCACTGGCCTCTGATGACATTATATAATATTGATTATGCATTGTTGAGTCTGCTTGGTGGGTCCCTCCTGTGTTACGTTCATTCAATCGCCTATTCACCAGCGCTATCCTCCAGTACGCATCTCCATCAGAATGCAATCAGTTACTCGTATTTGTATAAAAAATTATGTAGTTTAAGTCGGCGAGATGTAAGCAAACAAAGAATAGTTTGATAGCAATGGAAAGGATGTTGGCGAATTTGGCTTCACTTTGTTAAATAATGTAAATTGATGCATTCTTCATCAACAACAAGAATCTAAATAGCAAATTGTTGAAAGATTTCCTGAATGACGAAGCTCACCGAATTGGTACGTCACACCGACGTGATTTTTAGACGCCACAGATACGTCACTGCAACGTCATAAGAGTAACGGTTTCAATATAGGTATACCTAAACAATCATTTGTATATATACATAGCTTGTGGGTCTCCGAGATATTTATTATACAGTGTGTCAAAGTTTTTTAGAAAAGAGTTTTCTCCTACTTGGGTATATGAATAATGCCAAAAAAACTTGCATGTTGATTTGCTTTCGTGAGTTATACTTCTGTTTCACATGATAATAAATAGGTATCTATGGTTTAGAGAAGATCTGGAAAAAATGGACGTCGACAGGACGTCACGTCACGTCATAAAAAATACGTCATAGTGACGTCATAAATTGGTGTGTGACGTCTTTGACGAAAAATCAGCAATTAGGACGTCACAGTGACGTGATCATTCGTCATCTGGTTGCCTGGGGTGCGGGAGGTTTTGGACTATATATGAAAGTCGGCACAGGACAGTTGTTAGTTTTCGTACGTCTCAACCTTACCTACAGTTCTTGTCGAGGTTTTTTTCTGTCTGAGATGAAGAGGAAGTTGGTGATAGTATATAAGGTATAAGTGGATATTGAATTTAATGAAACACAAGCGATTTTTCGAACACGACGGCCTAGCCTAGATTCCAAACTTCAACGACCCGAAGTCTAAATGTCATCGTAACGTGGCATATCAGCGCCCGCGTTGAAACGTTATTGATTTCACTCTCATGTCAATAGAAATCCATATCACGGTAATTCATATTGATGCAAATATTTGATATTTCTGAAATGCGAAATGAGTTGGAATAAGTTATCTGTGATAGCTTGAATTGGGTTGTACACACACACTATGGACATCAATTGAGTTCTCATTCGCGATCCATTGGATGACTGGACGACATACATTGGACATTCAGTGCATATGTCAGAGAATAACGACATTTGTCATTCAATGGACATCTAATGGATACACATTGAAATGTGGAGTACAGTCAAAATATGGCCATGGTGTCCAAACATGGAGGTCAATTGGATGTTCATTGGACATCATTGTGTATCTGGGTAGTGTTCTGTTCGGAGTCCAGAAATATGATGGATTTTTGTTATTCCAGACCTGGATTTTTATCCTCACTGATGTGTGAGTCTCTTGGGTAGAAAAAGAAGGAATTGTGTACCACATTACAAAAGAATACACTGGGTGGGTCGTAAGTTGTGTCTTCACAAAGAATTGAGCAGAATTGATGAATCACCCTATATCGCGAATATAAAACTTGTCTGAACCATCTTGATGAGCTCTACCCACCGTTGAAGTTTTTCTGATGCCTAATGGGACTCCCCAGTACATGAAAGATGCTTCAGTATCAACAAGAAGATTGCTTATAAAGATTTCATTTGAACCCAAATTATTTTTTGGCACTGGTCTCAGCGTGAAGCCCAGAGTTTCCAGAAATACAAAAAAGAAATAGAAGACGAATTACATTGTCAACCTTACTTTCTAACGTCACCTCCAACTTTAAATCTTTGTTTCATCTAGTCAAGATGCGAATATCCAAAGATATTCCTTTCTCAACTCGCCTTTTATCATGTGACTCTTTAGTTGTGTGTTGTGTCCTCTGTTATCTGCAGTAGGTATTGTATTCAGTACAAAAAATTCACTTAAGTTTATAGCAAGCAATTTCTGAGGGGACGAGGTAAACTTTTTTCATATTTCAATTGAAATGACAATCAGAAATAGTCTTGCACTTGTCTAACGCCGTGAATAGAAAAAAAATACGTTTGTCGAATTATTTTAATGATTACTCCACCAGTTTTACCGCGTTTCGCATGTTAACAAAACATCGTCAATTTCAATATAACTATTTGAAAATGTTCAGTGCTCTAGGGAAAAAACGGATTGCGACAGTGAAGTAGTTAGGATTTGTACTTCGAAATAATGAAAAAAAAAAATGTTTCACGAAAACAGGCCCATTGACAGCAAATTATAGTCTATCTACTCCTATTTCGAGAAATTAACTGGGTAACGGGGTAATCACAATGAAGAATCAGATATACCGGTGATGCATAAAAAAAGTTGAAAGCATGTGTTTCGGGCGTAACTAATTATCAGGGAGCTAGGTTTCTTATACTTATATCCTAATCCGTTTCACGCCCTAGGTAGATAATTTACTATAATAATTGTTGTCCTATTCAAATAATTTACATGATGCCTCAGTGAATTCAAATCACCCATTCAAAAACGTGCCGATTTCAAAATTACCACGTGAACATCAACGACCTGAGAAACGTGAAGTCCGAATGTCAACGTTTTAATTATTATTGATCTGATTGGAGAACCATGTAAGGTCAAACGAGATATCACTAACAAATGTTTCAAATCAATTGTTTTTGACTAATTTCCATGACCCCGAATGGTAATATACTAATGTCACATCACGAATTCAACCATTTAACATTATTAGTTGTTTTTTTCCATTCTCTGTCGCATGATCAAACTATAGTATTCATGATCTCAAAGTATGTACTCATAAAAATAGCGTATATAGTTCAGTCAATGAACGGGTTAAAAAGGACTCCAAGACAAGGTATATGTTCGAAGTAGATAGTGAAAATTATAAGAGTCCCCAAACTTACAAGGTGAGCCAAGTGCAGATGACAACGTAGGAGGTCACTTTTTTGATGAAATTTTTGACATTTCAAACGTTAATTATGTTGGAAGCCAGAATGATGGATACAGTGTGGGCAACTCTCACGAGACGCTCGTTCATTGTCTCAATCACGAAATATTCTAACGAATACAAGTCGTAATACTATTTTTCTTGCAAATATTCGTGGATTGAGGTACTCCAGCTTGCTGCTTCAATTTCGCTCATGACATTGATCCAAAACTTCTCGCCTACAATTCGAAAGTTTTGATAAACAATGTCATTCGCGAAATTACTGAGCAACAAGCTGTCGTAACAATCGACGAATATATCTGGAAAAATAGTATCACTTGTGGTATTACATTATGAAAAAATTGTAGGAAAAAATAAAACTGTAGGTTTTTCCACTATTTTCCATTGTTCTCGAAGGCTCAAGCTTCAGTTTTCCACCAGAGTCTTCGAAATAGAATTCGCGAACAAAGAAACCTATACTGATGATACAATTTTGTAGACAATTTTATCAGCCTTATACCAATTCTTTAATATACTATTTGATGTGACAAGGAGACAGTTTGATTTCTTATCTCTGCATGCATAATAGATAACAAAATTTCAATTTTCATGAAATTACTTTTTCCCCAGGAAAAAAGTGAATGTTGATGGCTTTTGTATTGTAATACCAGTTCCCAAAAATCAGCAAATAACATCGCCTCCACCCGCACTGCCTGCCGCGCTCAATCTTATGAATCGGCCTGCCCCGCCTTCTTTATGAATTGGCCCGACCTGCCCCGTACGCTGCATACTTCAGGCCCGCGGTGTTGGTCAGGCCGGGCCTAGGTCCGCGCGGGAAGGCCCGGCCAATGCAGAGCTCTATTCTATATTGAGTCTTTTAGGTATGCGTCTATGATGTAACATATTGAAGGATAAGCGTCTGCTTATTGTTTGATGAAAGGTTATCAGAAGCACAGTTGCCGTTTTATACATATGATTCCGTGATAAACCATGTGAAAAACTTCAGAATCGTCTATAAAGTTTCAACGTGCAAAATTAGTAGTCTAGTCGTCTAGTAGCTACCAAATCTATACTTTTCAATAAAATCATTTTCCTCCGAAAATAGACTTTCTTATCATTATATAAATCGTTATCGACTTGTATTAACATTCGTATCAGAAACAACTTCATAGTGTAGATCTAGTATCTAGATAATGTGTCAATATACCGCGAAAGTCATAGTTATATGAATTCTTAGAGCCGGGATTGGCGCAGTGGAAGAGCGTCCGTCTCACGACCGCAAGGTCGTGGGTTCGATTTCCAATCGATCAAAAAAAAAAAAAAAAAATATTGTAAAGTTTCGGAGCATCGGCTGGGGATAGTCCTGCACGATTCGCTGTTGCGTTCCAATTAACAGTGCTGCTCCTAAAGTGGCGCATGGAGTTAGTAACAAAGCCTACACAGAACACGCAGAAAGATATGATGATGTGGTTGTGAGCATCAGAGAAGAAGTAGGACGGTGTATGTAGGTGGGTGTGGAAAACTACCAGCTGAGCGTGAGAGCGGGCCAGCTGCTTAAGTAGACCTCGGTCTCGGGGGTTAACGATGATAGTTAGCAGGCCTGCCACTGCGCATATGGTAGTGAGTACATTACTAGCCTACAAAACACAGCTGAAAAACTCTGAAAAGAGAGCTGATGGGCGGTGCCTGAAAAGGATGTTAGCCAGCTCTCTTGAGCGAACCACATCAGTCATTGAAAACACTTGGGGTTTGCAAAAAGGTCCCATTGGGGACTAGTTGCTGACGTGGAAACGTCCCCCACCAGTACCAGTACCAGTATATGAATTCTTACTCATTAATTGACACATCATGATTATAGTGAGTGAGGGTTGCTGGGCTGTGTGCACGTGTACCTATATATATACCAAAGAAGGGAAGATTTGTATTTCGTGCAAGATAATTTATTCAATATTCGTAGCACAGCGCTTTCGACTGTTAAGTCATCATCAGTGCATACTCGTCAGGTTAAATTGGACCAAAGATATTTTTATGAACAAATTTCCCTGTTATCCTGACGAGTATGCACTGATGATGACTCAACAGTCGAAAGCGCTCTGCTATACGAATATGGAATAAATTATCTTGCACGAAATATACGAATATTCCCTTCTTTGGTACATGATAATAGTGGCAGCTCACGTAAATGGTTTGTGACATTTTTAGAGTTCATCATGATCACATAATCATGCTAAAATTTTCTTTATAACTTCAAAAATTGCTTTGAGAGCTGTTATGAATTTCTCAGTCTCACCTATATAATTTTTTTTTATCGCTTGGTATGATTTCATTGGTTGCATACGCATTTGCACGTATATGTGTGTATATTCACAGTTTTTGTATTCCATTATGTACCTAGGTACATATTTACAATTTTTTCATAATTATTCACCTATGTTGAAAAAGTGCTACTTCTCATTAGAGGAATTTCTAGTTATTTCTCTGGTTGGGGTTTGAAAATTTCTCATCAGGTTAGTGATTGATATAAACTTGTGAATGAGAATTTCAGCGTTAGATATTGAGGCTCTGCGGTACTTCACATCACAGAAATGATAAATCTACAGTGGATAATCTGTAGATCTGGCAACAGTCATTGTCAAATGTAATTTTTTCTACAATAAGCAATCTGTATATATAGGTACTCACTAGGGAATTGAAGTCTCGGCATAATTTCAATGGCTTATTCCATGACCTACCAGCAGGTGATAATCTCCAAATTAAGTCTATATGGTACCTCACATTTACAGCTCTGAGGCAAATCAGTTCTATTAGCCTAAAAACAGAGAAGCAAATGGTACACGGAGACAGAAGATTCATCGAATCAACGAAATATTACATCATATACATGCAAGCCAAATTTTTTGTTATTACTATAACAATATTCACATAGTGACAAAAATATCAAATTACAGTGGTGACAAGTTATGTTGTCGTGTATATAAGAACAGAACTTCTTTTACCCAAAAATGGCAGAAAAACTAGCTGATGTTTCAATGCAAAGCTTACATTTCATTAAATAAAGACTTCATGTGTCTGAGAAAAAATAAGTTTTTAACTCTCTGAGGGCATAAAAATGTTTGCTGAAACAATTTTGTATCGAACTTATAATACTCGATCAGATTCAGGTCTATGGATCTTCAATCGGCTCGATTCTGTTTGGATCTAGTTATAACATTGCTAAGATAACAATATTGTTATGATCATAACATATAACAATATTACTATGAAGTTCTGTATTCTGTTTGCAGAGTAACTGCAAGATTGGTTATAAGTTCAAGTGATAGCAATATTGTTGAAAAATTGAGAATTTTTGAGCTGACAACACTGTTTTCAACTAATTTTTCAAGTGTTAGGTATCGATTTTGCCATTTTTCCTTGAAGAAGAAGAGTTCATGATTATCTAACCTTTAAAATCAGTCAGTCCTGTACTGACACTTTACAAAACTATATTGTTCAAATTGAGGGATTCTGTATTCGATGCATCTGGTCGTCGTTGTGCGACTGGTGCAAGTAATCAATCATGTCCCGGAAACGAGAAAACAACCCAAAAGCCGGATGAAAATGAAAATGATGATGATTTTTTTTCGAATATTCTAGCAAAATAGCTTGATGAACTATCCATCAGGCAACTGAAATGGTTTTCTGGTTTCTCTGATATGCCGAAACTGTAGTAGTCTCATATTCCCTCTACAAATTGGAACTTCAAGAAAAGGTTTTCAAGTAGTTTGTCACAGTAGTGAACCTATCCTATATGTTTGTAACCACCATTCAGTTTTTCAATAATTCTTCTACAAATTGAAACTTCGAGGAAAGGTTTTCTAGTAGTCAGTGACACAAGTGAACTCACATAATTATGTTTTTAATCCATTATTTTCTGAATTTTCATACACTTGGAAGAATTTGTAGTGCAAAAACAAAGAATCCACTACCTTGTTATAAGATAGCAAGTACAAAATTGATGTTGCTGAGATAGCAAGAAATCTGACCAGATGTCATTGAAATTGACAGATCATATTGCCAAAAATCGATGATCAGAATTCCACTTTTTTGAATCTTGCTATGATAGCAATATCTTCTCTACAACCATATTGCTATTTGCAAACAGAATCGACCCGATTATCAATATGGCGATGGATAATGTATAGATTCAAATTCGAAGGAACCAAATTTGATCCTGCAATGACCTTTATCCTGAAAAAATGTGTACCTAATTATCGGGATAGATATGGTTGTCTGTACTCAAACGAGATACTTTCTCGAATATTACATAATCAGAGTCATCTCAAATGATAGATCTGATAGAGTGAACCGAAATACTGGTGGTACCTCATATAAGAAAATAATTGACCTTGAAAGTTTCTTTAAGTCCATACATAAGGTACATATGTGCATACTCATCATTACTGAACTTATCCATGGTCTAACCAAAGTATTAAATACTGTCTGAATAATCTGATGTCAATTATGACGATGACTGCAATTACCATGATGTTATTGAATAAATAGAGTTCTCCCAGAAAGCACAGAACCGTCCCGAGAACGTCCTCAAGCCGTACACCTCGGACATTGGAAACGTCCTCAGAACGTCCATTCCAGGTACGACGTTTTCAGGACGTTTTGGGGACATACTATGTTACACAATCAGTGGTCCCCAGGACGTACGATAAAGGTCCTGTTCAGGTCTGAACCGGACCAATAATACCTGAATCAACGTAGATCCACCTTTTTTTTACTCAGATAGTAAAAATAGAGACCTATATCGGGTAAAAAATATTATTTTGAAAAAAAAAATTGAAAAAGTGCTCCTACCGGGGATCGATCTCACGACCTCCAGATTACAGATGCTCTACCTATATTAATCTAGAGAAGACTTGATTATATGTTAGTATAGATACAACAAGTCAACAAGACATTATGTGCGAATGTTGATTGATCCTTATTCACATTGGTCTTTGTTTATACGTCCATGATTATGTTCATGTTCGCAAGGTTCTTAAATGAATAGATACCAGAGATCGAGGGTAGAATAATTTATGTGCAATGATTTCAATTATTATTATATATACAGTTTTATTCAATCTCGTCCCTTGAGAGTCGATAAAGTCCAGAGTTGGACGTACCCAGTACAGCGTAATCGTACGTTTCCAATGCGTCCAGAAACAGACTTTTTCAGTACGTCTTGGAAAAATCCTGGACGTTCACACCTATCGGGCCTAAACTGGACGTCCTCAGGACGTCGAGTGCTATATATGGGCTCATAACATTATATACTTTTGAAACGGTTGGGATGTATGTTTGAATGTTCTTGAAATGTGATTTTCTCTAGAACGGTACAAGATATCGATTGAAATAAGATATACTATTTCTGTAGAAGAATAATCAAGGAATCAAACCGTGGAAGCGAAATGTCAAATTTGTCTCCTCTGTCAAAAATGCATTCATCAAGCTGGAAAAATTCGTCCCATTCTGGTATGAAGCTCATCAATCACTGACCAAATATCATCGATACCATGGCAACCGATTAAAAGTTATACCTATCTACTATCTACTCTATCAGACCTATCATTCACAACATGGCCTTTCTGGTCACCCTGTATATACTAGTTTACCTATCCAAGGATGAAACGTATTCAGAATATTCTGTTTGTGTGTTCATGTCAATCCCCATGGCAGTTTCTGAAAAATAAAAAACAAAAAACATTATGATCTTGAATTTTTATTAATACCTAAAAATGTTTTGTTGCACCAAGAAAATAATTTTGGTTATTTTTTTTTGTTAAATTGAACACAATTTTGCAGAATCAACATAATATTTATCCATTCCAAATAAGCAACCTATTCACAGAGACAAAATAATTTGGTTGAAATATTTGTTTACTTGAACAAAAGTTTCATTTCACTCAACAACATTTATAGTTGACAGAACAAATTTTGTTGATCCAACTATTATCTCATTGTTCAATCAATCATATGCATTTTGTCTATTCGACAAAGTTAAATCAATTTCAATAAATATTTAACTGAATACAACATCATATTTTGTTGAGTCAACAATCAGGTTCTCTTCTATTCGACAAAATTGAATTGATTATGACAACATTATATTTTGTTAATTCAACACATCACTATCAAGAAATATGTTGTTGTTTCAAACAAATCAGTTTGTTGAATAGAATCCACAAGAATATTATATCAAACAAATATTTTGTTGGATGATTATCTAGTTGCATTTTTGCCACCAGGTGGCGTTTCTTCCAACCTTCCTAGGCTCCTCTCGATTGGGGTGTACATATACCTACATAAAACATCCGTTTATATCATTATATTAGGCTGCCCTAGAATTTCTTATGACGCTTATACAAGCTGAATGAACTGAGGAAATTAATCTCTAATTTCTCTGTCTTGAAATTCAGATATCGGCGGATTTCTTTTTTATTATTCAGCAAAATATTTCATCAATTATAAATACAATTCTGTTGATCGAAGAATATATTTTGTTATTTTAACAAATTCACTCTCTGAAAAACTGAAAATTTTGTCACTTGAATGAAATGATATAATCATTCCAATCAACAGAATCGTTCATAAGAGCAGAATATTGTATTATTGGAACAAAAGAGTCTTTGTTTATTCAACCAATTCCTGCTGTTGATTTGAATCATTAATGAGTTGAATCTAATGAATTTTGAATTGAAAACCGACAAAAAACATTTGTTGCGGTGACAAAATATTTTGTCGTGGATATATGACACTCCGATTTTGTTGAATTTACAAAAATTTTGTAGTTTCAAACAAAATGTTTTTTTTGTGTAGATGTACATAAATATGTGCTTCCTCTTTTTCGTCCACTTTTCATGCTGAAACGATATGGCTTGTCCAATCAACAAATGACCCAGCAGATTCAAATATTCTTATACATGCTTTGTATCCATCATATTGACAACTTTGAAGTCAGTAGGTACAATGCTTTTCCCTAAGCCAGCACTGTTTCAAGTAAATCTCATTCTGCACATGCGCATTAACGATCGGCCCATACATTTCACCGCACTTCTGATCTACTGGATGGTTATTGTAGTGTCAGTATATATAATACGATTTCTATAAATTTAACTCAAAAAATTGCCAGAAAAAACTACTCGTCCTATTTTCTTCGATTAGTGCTCAGGCAACGAAATTCTCATCGAATTTTCAAGTTGACTTTGACAAAACAAGCTCTAGTAGAAAAATACCAATAATGGTTTCATAGGGAATCGACCATTTTTATTCAAATAAAAACGCACCTCACTTCCCATAATGATGCTCGTCTCTAGAAAACTGATGGAGTTGGTGGTCATTCATGATTGTTCAAATTTTGCAAGAATCGCACGACTAATAGCCGAGATAATATGAAGGGGGGGGGGGGCTTTCAAAGTGCGACAAGCTGTATATTAGTCCTACAAATTCCTAATAGCTAATGATAGACATATACACATGTACTCTTGATTTGAGTTCACAGAGTGTATTATCTGGAGATGATTTTGTGTACCAATTCTTCTACTGATTTGAACGATATTTTTTAATGCGATTGAGTAAGTTGAATAAACGTCATGGAATAGACCCATTCCATAGCATAGTTCATTATCGAAATAGTATCCATCAATTTGATCTCAAAGTTGATCTGTGCGTTCTATTCATACATATTCTATCATTATTTCAATTTCATCCGTAGTTTATTCTTATAGTTATCTTTCATACTCATATTCTAATGTTGTCATCTCATGATCATTTCCATTTTCAACGTTTCAACAATAGGAATCTCCTGAGACAGGTCGAGTTTTATTTTCAATTTGCGACAATCATATAAGCAAAATAATTAAACAGGGTGATCCAATCTGAGTTATGACGTTCGCATATTTCACAACTTTGTACACTCGACCCTAGATGGCTCTGAGAGATAGATCATTCTTCTCCCACATTTGAGCTTTGATTTGCAGAACACATTGACTTCCCTTCGTGAATGGATTGTCAGCTGGCCTAGGGCAACTGATGAGGCTTGACCACCCGAGAAAATCTGTATTACATCAGATGACAACCGATTCACGAAAAATTCCCTTGATTCTATGACTCTTGAGATCCCAGGTTCCCCAGATATAATTCAAGTTTTTACCGCAGATCATGTCCAGTGTGCATTTCGATGCCAACTTGAACAATGGCACATTCTTCTTCCCGACATGTTGGTCTAGTTGATCGATCAAGACTTTAGCTTTCTCATTGAAGGTGTCTAAGAAAGTATCCAAAGTATTCTGATTGAATGCTGGCATCACAACTCTCTTCCCAAGTAGCACACATATATTGGAACAATATCGGTGCAATATTACGAAAATATCGGCAAAATATTGTGAAAGTAATATTGGCGAGAAAAAAAATGTGAACATTCGGCGATATTGGTACAATATCAGTTTCCAAATGTGGGTAGAATATTCTCATATTAATATTGGTTGAATATTCGTAAAGTAATATCGGACACAAAATGTAATATCAATATTGGCGAGAAATTGATGGTGAACATTCGGCAATATTGGTGTAATATATGGAAATATCGGTGAATCATTGGAAATCATCATGAAGGTATGTTGTCTCAGAAATATTGGTAGAATATTCTCATACCAATATTGCTGGTATATTCGTGAAGTTATATTGGAAATGTGATATCAATATACTGGTGCAATATTGGTTGGAAATATTGGTACATTATTGAAAATCATTATGTAGCTATGTTGACTTCAAAATATTGGTGGAATATTTTCATACCAATATTTGCGAGTTATTCGCATCAGGAGTAATCACAAAGGTCAGCCCAGCCGGAGTGATGGGAGGGCCTCTTGCCCTAGGAAAGCCGCCTTGTTGATCACGGTTTACCCCTACTCCAGGTTATAATACATTACAATCGTCTAGAGCCAATATTTAAATTCTCTCGTCGGATCGGCGATGAGAGTACGTTACCAATCATTTATAGCGCCATCTGTCGACATCGGTTTAGGAGTGCGTAATATGGAATAAATATCGAAATTTCGATATCGATATGTATTGTCAAAACAATATGTGAACAATATTGCTTACATGATATAGTGAATCACATATCAACCAATATAAGATGATATTATTTTCTGAATATGGCTAGAAAACTATTCACCCGATATGCAATTGAACTTGAAAATACAATATTGTTTTTCTCTTCTATGTCCGATATAAGATACATATTGAATTGCCGTTATTGATATTCATATTTGAATCATTGAAAACTCCTTCAGAATCGACATGTGGAGAATGTTCAAATTGCTATATTGGTTGAATATGATATTTCGAATATTGTTGAAACAATATTCAACCAATATGCCGTCGAACTCAAATATACAATATTGCACAACCGCTTCAGAATCAACATGGGGACAATATTCAAATCGCGATATTGGTTATAAATGTAGAAAGCAAATTGTATACGATATCTTCCGCATGATATAGATAAAATGATATCAATCAAGAAGGGTGAATATAATGTTTCAAATATTGTTAAAACAATATCCAACCGATATGCCGTTTAACTTGAATATACAATATTGCATAACCGCTTCAGAATCGACATGGGGAGAATGTTCAAATTGCAATATTGGTTGTAAATGTCGGGAACAATATGTATACGATGTTGTTGTATCGACATTCGTAAAACAATATTATATAACATTCATAGATATGTTTTTCAACACATTGTTAACGAATTTTACAACCAATATTGCTCCAATATTGTAGCTGACAATCCATATTCAGCTCAGGTTGAACCAATATTCCACCAATATTATCATACCAATATTGTTTGTCCAATATACTCTCATATTGGACCTATATTATTTTTCACATGTACGATATATCTATATCGGCCCAATATGGAATCGGGTTCCAGCCAATATGATGTGCTACCTGGGTTATGTCGCTTCCATACCTCAACTGAAATCAAAAATTTTATAATTCCACGTGTTACCTGCCTCGGTTCTGCAATCATGCCATTAAGTTGAAACACACTTGAACATTCAATAGTTAGAAAATATATTTTTCCACGAACGTCAAGAAATCATAAGGTTCGCGCAATGTTATCCATCTGTGAAATTACCCTTTTTCAAAAGCTTTTATTCAACTTGCATTGTATGTACCTATGATTGTTCGGGTGGAATATTTGAAATCAATGTTGAAGTTTCGTTTGGATGACAATGCGAGATACGGTGTGGGGATAATTCTAAATCCAATGTGGCGAACCATCCAAGATGGCAGAATGATTATTACGTTAGGACGTCATTCATAACCCGATATGGCGGTCCATCCAAGATGGCGGATCAGTTATTTTCAAGGTACTTCTTCAATAGGGTATCCAACGTGGGGGCTCGTAAAGAACAATTCGAACAATGATGTGAAGTTATTCTAAATCAAATATGACGGACCACCCAAGATAGTGGAATACATATTTCAAATACGGTTCTACAATATGGGTATCAAATAAAATTGCTCGTTGGGAGTAACTCGAAAAATGATGTCACGTCATTCTAAATCTAATATGACGGACCATCCAAGATGGTGAAACAGCTATTCTCAATATACACCTAAAATATGGGTATCAAATGGAAGGCTCGTTATAAGAGTAACTCGAAAAATGATGAGTCTTTTTGAATTCAATATGGCGGAACATCCAAGATGACGAAATAGTTCTTATTCATGCCCTTCTGTAGCATAATTATCAAATGAAAGAGCTTGCTGAGAAAAATTAGAAATAATGTGACATGACTCTCAATCCAATATGAATATCCACTATTGAAATTTTTTGTGCCTTTCTTTAATCAGAGGGTTCATTGGGACCAAAAATAAAGGTTTGGAACTATCGATTTTGGAGACTGTGAGAAACCTAGCCAGCGATTACTACAGAGTGATAACTAAATTGAATGTAAAGAATCATTTCAAAAGAGAGCTTTTATTCAGGCGCTCTGAAATAAAGAAAATAATATTTTCCTTTCAATTTTACTGTGAACTGTCAACTTATAACCTCATTATACACAATTCACATGATCATAAAAGCTTGTCGCACGATTTACTTGTGTGAATAAACTAGTACTAATTCAATTATGCACAATCTGTCAAGTTGAAATTTTCAAGATCTCAATTCAATCAAATATTGAGCATTACGACAAGCTCTTACGATCATATAATATATAGTGTGAAAGGTGGCTATGAGTTGATGGTTGAAATTTACATGGAACAATTCATTTTCTGCTTTTTTGTGCGTTTGAATGAAAGCTTCTTGAAAAAGATTTGTTTCTTCCAAATTATATGATTTTCCTACATTACCAAGACACCGTGCACGAAATAGGTCGCGAAATACGTATTTTGCGCCCAATTATGGCTCAGCCCCATTGAAAAAATCAGTTCTCGATCACCAAAGTAGCACTTTTCCTACTAGATATAGAAATAACTATTATCTTCATCATTTGTCGCCGTCACATATTCTATATTTACCAGGAGCACTAATGAGTCCTTTAAGTCCAGGAAAATTATTCAAACGATAGGTATAGTGTCTTTCTAGAGCATGATTTGAAAATTTCTCGATATATTCAGGATTTGATGGCGCATATACGAGATTCGACCCAAACCATATCCTCATCAGGCCCGGAAATGATTGCATAAGTCCCTGCATCACTTGACTGGTTCCTGAAAAAATAAAAAGTTTACAATGGGAAATAGTTATTTGTTTAACTAGGCAACGCTACGCTACGCTCGGCTATGAAATCAGCCTCGGCAGTCAATCTACTTTGCTGCCGAGTTGAACATATAATTTCTTCTCCGATTTTATGATATAGGTTGATATTGTATTTGCAAATTATTACAATCCCCACAATCTCTTTATTTTTTCTGTAGTGTTCAATTAAAATAAAATTTGATGGAAATCGCAGTTGTTGGAATGGTTGGTTGCTATGGATTATTTTGTTCAGAAAAAGATTATCATGTTCAGGTACTTTCATTCTCCATTTTTATATACTCAAAGTTCGTATAGGGACTATATTGAATAAATAACTGATGTCCATGTAGGGTTCAACTAGGTATAGATGGACAAATCACACCACTTGTGCACTTATCAATTGAGACATTGATGAAATGTCTTGTTGTTGTTGAAATTCAATAGGAATCCTTGGAAAAAAAATAATCTGATATAATGAACATATTCAGATAGAAACCACTTTATTGGTTCAATTTAATTTACATGTATGTAAATGAAAATGAAGTAAAAACTCAAAGTCATTACCAAGTGTGTTAAATAATATGAACAACAACAATGGTATAGATGACGAGACGAAGACAGACTGTTTTTCTGGCTAGTCGAAAATAATTGGTTGGGTCGAACAAAATATCCATATTCAATAGTGACCAAAGCATAATTTCAAATGAAAATATCATGAATTAAGAGCCTGATTTCGGTAGTTTATTGAGCAGGTATCCCAGGTAGACCACTAATATTGGTTCAATATTGAGTCAATAAATGGTGAATGTTGGGAAAATATTAATTTTAATTATTGGGTCAATAAATCAATGTGAACATTCTGGAATCTTGGTGCTATGTTGAATTTCAATCTTGTTTCGATATATGCTCTATCCAATATCGAGTTAATATTCGTATACAAGATTGGACAAATATATGATGCCAACTTATAGAAAACTGGTTTCTTATAATTTTCATATGTGAAATCGATATTGAATTCATATTCCCCTACTATATTGGCTAAAATGAGGATGTGATTATTTTGCAATATTATCTTCATGTTGAATTATAATATTCAACCAATATTGAATTTCGTTTTTCAACAAAACTCGAAATCAAAATTCGAAGCCATATTAGCCTCATTAAAAAATTGCGATATTTGTACAATATCAAATCCATTTTCGTTTCCTGTATCCCAGAATACTTAGTTTTGCAAGTTGAACGAATGCGGTATTTGATGTCTCTCAGCAGTCGTTTGTTGGAGGCGTGCTAGTGGCGCCAGCTGTTATAACGTAGCTCAAATACTAAGAGAAATATCACGAATATCGATTCTATATTAAAAATCCAATGTCAGTGCAATATTGGTTCTGGCATATTTCATTAGTTATATCTATCTGAAATGGGTCGCATATTGATGAACTAATATTG